AGTCTAAGCCATTGCAAACCCTTCTGGAAATGAATATTCTCAAGCTTCCCTACAACTTTATGACAGCTGAATCCAGTTCATCAAAGCACCACAAAACCAAGAGGAAGTAAATGGTAGTTCTTCTACCCACCACAGTTGAAGATGCTATTGTGTCGGGATTATAGTTGGGAAGCCAACCTGGGAGCTGCCTGATGAAATTCTTGTGGGGCAGTCCAGGGGCTCTGAGAACAAAGCTGGCCTCAGGCCCTTGAAGCCAAGGATGCCAGCACTCTTCACACCTGGTGCCGTAAATGTTTTTATTTCCTCCCAAATCAAAGGTGGGAACAAACAATGCAGAATAGCAGGAAAAAGCTAGGGTCAGACAGATGTGGGCACATGGTCACTGACAGGTGTTTCCGCTGTGAATTACTGGCTTCTGTGTTCCTCCTCATCCCTGTTGTCAATGGATGCCCAGCTCAGCAACAGCTTTTGCTCACCATGAACCTCCAAAACGCATCCTAAATGCTGACACAACCCTGAAGTACGAGTAACTGCCTAACTCCCATGAGCCCTTTACTTGGGGGATTTGGCCTGACGACACGTCAGAGTTTAGCCCAATTCCCCTACAGCACCCAGTTCTTGGACCATGCAGCCAGGGTGAGGAGCCACCAGCGACCTGCTGATGTCCTCTGGCTCAGGCCAGGTCCAGCCTTGACACACTCTTGACACACATCCCAGCACACGGTTTTACTCAAAAGCCTGCTTGGAGGGCTTCATATTAAAGGTGGTAGACTGGTTAGAGCTTGCTTCTGGAGAGTGAGACTTCTCACAACCAACATGGCACCCAACCTATGACTTTAAATACTGGCCAGCATTAAAAACGATAAGATGCGAACTTCTCCCTCAATGAAAATGGTCGAAGCTGTCACGGATACAATAAATTTGATGTTTCATTGGGTTCTTCCTAGTTCTGAGATTTTTATGAACAAATTTAAATTGTTTTAAGCATTGTGACTCGTGTGTCATTTATTTAAAGTATTATAATTAAAATACATAACTACACTGCAATCCAACAGTTTTGGCAGATGGCAAAAATCATACTAGCAAGATTAATTTTTTAAAAGATTTATTTATTTATGCATACAAGAACTGGGGTGCAGGCCAGAGGTGGGGGGCGGTGAGAGGATTCACCAGAGTAGGGAGAATAGGCGGATCCACTGAAATACACTGCTGAGGGGAGCAGCGGGCGAGACAGGAGAAAGTCTGCTGTGCCATGTGGGTCAGCTCCCTGGCCGGGGATCGAACTCGTGCTGCAGTGGCTGCGGATAGCTTCACAGTGCTGACACTTAACCCCTTGCACCACCAGGGAGGCCCTAGCAAGATTTATAAGAATGTTTAGATTATCAGGAAATTGAAGTGTGTACATTTGGGCCCCTTCATAATACATGGACCATGATAGAACCTTTCTCTCGGAAGAAATCTGACCAACAGTGTCACAATTAAGCAATTAAGGTGAAACACCTGCATTCAGTGTTAAAACAGTAAGACAAACCTGTATCTCTGGAGTATCAGAGTGCCCAAATCCTACTGGGCAGCTCGGAGGACTGGACGGAACGCCACCGCTGCCCTAACCAGCAGCACTACCCAAGAACATGCAGCAACCATTACCACCGAGGAACACAGCTACCCACACACCAGGACTCACAGTGATCAATGTTCTTGGAGTTGCCAGACTTGACCCCTTAAGACCTGAAGGTTAACATGTAGAAAACACTAAGGTTGTCTATAAAATCTATTAAGGTATTTTCAAAATAAAACAATGCTGTCAAACCACCTTGGGATGAATTGTTTTTAAGAATTTGCACCAGGAATTATTTTACAATTGGAAAGTGTCCTATTTGCTAATATATTTGTCCCAAGTATTCCATAAACTCCAGGGTAAACATGGGGATCTGTAACAAGCCTAAACTAGAGAGATGTAGTTGACGAGCAGTCCTGGCACAGTGTCCGGGCACGGCCGGCTCTCTGCTGGGGGCGGCTTTCTTGGCTGTGAAGGCAGAGCATGCCCTCTGTCACTCATGGGGAGCAGTTCTGCCCAACTGTCTCTTTTCAACAACTTTATCATCAATCTCTTTATTAACAGCTCCACTGCAGTCAGAAAACGCAAACAAGGACCTGTTCTCGTGCCAGGTTTCTGGAAATCACACAGCACCAGGCACCACACAGTGTGAAAGTTTGTACGGAGGGTGTCGTGCCAAGACAGAGATGGCACCCACAAGGAACAGGCCTAAAGTCGGGACAGTGTAGATGATTATACTGAAATACTTTTCTAGCCCCGAAGTCAGAAAAGAACCCAAATATCTTTATGTGTACACACAGGGACAGAGGGCCCAGGAGCAGCATGACATTATCTATCCCCCCAAAATAATTTTGTATTGCCAAGATTCCTTGGGGCAGAAAATACTAAAAACATTTTCTGATTCAAGATTATGACATTATTAGAAAATACGGAAGAATGAAATAAATATCTGCAATGAGCTGTGGAACTCATAAAAATTATTCAAAATACATATTTTAAGCATGAAATATGTTGGATCAAAAAATAGCACCTTGCAAATTAAAGGCTTCTAAAAGGCTTGTGAAGTATTTTTAAAGAGACTTAAGACACCTAAAAAACAAAATCAGGGCGCAACCACATAACTAATAGGAAGTAAAAAAAATCCAAGCTAGTAAGTGAAAGCCGAGTAGGCTGTCTGGGTATTTTCAATACATGGAAAACAACTCGAGAAACACAGTGCATAGATCAGAAGCTACTCATCATTTTGCTGTTAATTACCTCATACTCAGGCCTAACACTTAAGCCTACCCCAGGTGAAGATTCACCCCCAATGGGTTTCACTTTAATCTACTTCCAATCTGTTGAAGTAACTGCTTAAAATATAAAGTACAGGTGAAACTATTTTTTCTAAAATTTTTGACCCTGATACTGTGGACTTTAACTGAAATGATAATAAATCTTGCTGTGCGGGGTCACCTGTGTTCTGATGAAAATGGACCTCCCCTTAGGCAGAAGGGGTGGTGGCCAACTTCAAACTGCGAGGCTGAGTATGCTCTGGGGCTTCTAGACCCTTCCTTGTTTATTCCACAATGCAAAACACCAACACCCTTTTGTCTCCCCTGGCCAATTCTGGGCCCCAGTAAGAGGAAGTATGTATGTACTGCATGTATGTGTGGTTTATTATCTGCAGTGACATTCCTTCCCAGAGACAAAGCATGTCTCTGAAGAAGAAAAGCAGAAGTTAAATGACTTCCCAAGAAACGTGTAATCACTTTTAGAATCCAGTACAATCACTTCTGAAATACATGGTTCAGAAATACTGATGCCGTCTTTCTTGATGCCAATGAAGCTATCTCAAGAAATTTTTTTTAAGAATTTTTAAAAATGATTAAGTACAAAGCATGAATAAATTGCTCTGATAGATATAAAAAGGTATTACACAGAATTAAACAGACCACTTGTTTCTATGACTGAAGTCATGTTTATTACAGAATGTACTTAATATTTATTTACCAAGTTCAGATGTGAGTTATGACAGCATCCATTTGTGATTCTGGTTTGAAGAAAATCTAACAGGAGAGGAATAAAGTAGAGAATTAAAAAAAAAAATTTCAGGCTAAAAGGCAACTTATTTTCCTTGTACTATTTTTTTATTTGAATTAAAATAGGTAAAAGTATATCCACAGGACTGTTCAATGCCTTTTTAGGTAAACAGTTTATCTTTTTGTTTAAGATACATTTAAATGAACTAACAGTTAATGTTTCCAAGGCTTGGTCTAAAAGTTTGTGTATATTAACGCTTTGTCCTTTCATATATCAATTACTACTTGAAGCTGATCATTTATTGCCACCTTGAGTGCAGCCAGAATTACTACTACGCAGAGCTCTAAAACATTTTTCTGTGTGGAGAGAAAAACAGAGGTGTTAATTAGAAAAATATAAACTTTATTCCAGAAGATAGTCAGAGCCACAACACTACTTTCAATTATCATTTTACAAATTCAGCAAGATGCATGAAATGCCAAAAAAAAATCACACAGGTGATAAAACTCCGAGTGTGATATCCAAGCCCACGTTTAGGAGTCTTTCAAAGCAGGCAAAGTATGGCAAGCTCAATTCTACTGATGTGAACAATGCCGTCAAGGTAACTGTTAACAATATTTTCCCTTTTGTTGAACAGCCCCAAAATTAAATTTTCTTTTACTAAGTTATTCCATGTTGGAGATGTATTTCTACATATAGTAAAACAAACAGACTTTGGAATTTGGAGAATACACACAACTGCATTAGAATAACAGATTGTATATAGAGGCCTCTCCCTCCATTCAAAACCCTTCAGCCAGCAATACTGGAGAGCTGACCATGGCAGACAGAGCAGTTTGCTCCTAACCCACAAGTTAAATACAGTGTCGAATGGTTGGGGTTTGATGCAAAGCAGTATCTCATTTGCGTTTAGTAAAGTGAGAAATATAGGAATCCTGGGTGGCTGTGAGCTACAACCCTAAATTCACTGAAAAACAACAGTGCCACCTGCTGACGTTCAGTGATTAAGCACCAACTGCTTTGAAGACCAACAGCTTTGCAAAAGCAGCGTGTGGGTGGCACACACACCATCTACCCGCTTGGGCGCGGCCACAGAAGAGGGCTGGCATCTGCACACACACAGCAGGTATTTCAGAGGGTGGGATAGATGAAAGAAAATGAAACATGAACTATGTTCATAGTTACTTGCCCAAGAACCAATTACATGAAAAACAAATACCTGATGATGTGAGACATGAATTATTAGGTTGTTGCTAATAGCATAAATTAACCAGAAACAAATCTTTTCTAAATGTAACCAAAGTAAATTCTTTTGCAAGTCTTCACTTAAGAGCCATGCTACACACTTCTAAGTAGTACCAATCAGATTGCTGAAAAAAACAAGAGAAAGTCAGTCAAAAGAAATGAGCCAACTGTGGGATTGTGCTGTTTTTTTTTTTTATTGTGTTTTCAATGGAGAAATACATCATCTGTTTACAAAATAGCTCTTGAAAAATACAAGGAGTACAGATACTATAAAACAAAGCAAACTCCAGTCATGAGACACTACGTACATCATGCGAAAGCAACAGTCTGATCTCCAGGTTATGAAAACTAGAATTAAAAAGTCACTACACAGAAAAGGTCCAAGTTTCCAGCTTGGCAAAACTTGGGTGCAGTTACATGAAACGTTTAATAAACTGAATTTTTTCCCCAATGTGTAAACAAAATGACAAGACTAAATCTGTGCCTGGCAATTTCAATCTAACTCTGAAGCTACACAAAACACACAGACACCTTGTACTCTTCACCTGTTAGTACGACCGTCGTTTTCCTTACGTGCTGGGAGAAAGGGCAAGGTGACTGTGCAGAGCAGAGATGTGGAAGTAGAAAGATGGTATACTAGACATTATAACGCATGGTGAAAATAAAGCCTCAATTAATGCATAGCCTAAGGGGTAAAGACTACACTCCAACTTTGGAAAATTAATTTAGAAGGACAGGGGAAGAGTTTAAGTAATTGCAGTTTAACATGAAAAATGCACATGTGATAGAATGGAGCACAATGGAGGATTCAAAAACATGCTCATCAAAACAATCTGTTAGCTTTGCTTCATCCAGATTAAGAGTTAAGTTTATCTACATCTGGCATCCCTCATACTTCCTAAAGAAGTGTTTTCTTTGAAGAATGGAGTTCCTAATCTATTGACAGGATACAACCAAAAAAAAAAAAAAAAAAGAGAAAGAGAGAGAGAGAGAGAGCTGACTAGATGTCAAGTGCTTGCTAGAAATGATTTTTAAAATGTTTCTACATGTAAAATTTACTGACATATTTTGGTCATCCACTTAAAAAAATTAGTCTAAAATTCTTGGAGAAAATGCCTTTTTGCCCATGTTTAAAGTTGAAAATCAACCATACTACAGACAGGAGTTCTGTGGAGTGTACAAAATTCCTTATATTTAGAGATCAAATGGCTACCCCAGAGTTACCATGTCTCACAGGCATTCCTTTTAGTCACCTAGAGTTTCAGCCATGGGACCACAATTTAGTGTCTGCGCCACGCAGCTGCCCGGTCACCAGCTTCAACATCATGGCTGAAGAAAATACTGGCATTTTATTTTTTATGAAGTAAGTCTTACCTTACGCATACAAGCAAAAAAGGAAATGAGAAGGGGGAAGAAGCAAACAGCTTTGCTTGTTTCGAAGACAACAGATGGAAGGCAAAAGAATAGGGAGCTTTAAATAAGCTCAAAGAAAAGTATTTGCTGGCTGATCACTGATTTGTATGCACTCTAAAACAACTCTATAAATAAAAACCAATATATCATTTCTTAATCATGACCCCATCAAAAGCGAGTATTTCCTAATTATTCTTCCAATGTCAAATATATATCCGAGAGCTGACATTTCATTTTTATGGATTACAGCTACCTCACTGGGACTGAACGAGCTGTATGTTTATCCTTTCTCTGAGGTTTCCCAGTACACCACTGCACAATGGCATCTAATTTAAAGACTAATGGTAAAGAAAATTCCTTAGGAAAAAAATGAAAATCCATCAAGCTGAAAATCTAAAATTAGTTCTACTTTCTAATAAAAAATACATAAAAGTGCATCATCAGAATAAGGAATTCTTATGCCAGTTTGTATTGCAAATTTTCCAAATAATGTATCAAACATAAACCCAATCCAGATGTCAATTATGGATACAAATATAGCTTGAGGTTGTTTTTTTCTTTTTTTCAAGGCAGTAATTTTTTGAAATAGTTAATACAACTGTTGCTAACACAATAATAATAGTACTCCTGGCTTCACATACTAACCTGGACTTCCGATCAAGTGCTGATTAGCCCAGTAAGGGAGGTCACAAAATTTAAAGGAAGGAAAAAAAAAAAAAAAAAAAAAAAAAGCCCCTAAATCCATTTTCAGTCATGTCTAGTCTTGTACCCTCCATTCTCCTTTTTTAGCATTTGAAGACAACAGGTTGAGTTGGCAGATATTGTTTATGGACCCCTGAGGTGGTTTTTACCGATTCAATCTCAGTTTTATTGAATTCTTGATAACAGGAATAGGATTTGCAGGGAGAGCGGGGATATCAGAAAGGTCTGTACTGGATGTTTTCTGAGAACGAAAGCAAAGAATACAACATTGTTCAAAGCACTGTAACTTAACAATAAGATTTACTTCCTAAGAAATGGGTGGGGCCATAAGCAGTATTATAATTTTAAAGAAAAACAATGTAAAATGTTGTTAAAATGGAGTGTGAATGATTATTAAAAAATTATTTGTTCTATATTTGCAGAAATTTTCAAATAAGAGTATTTTAGCAATATATAGAAAACACTTATTTCAAATACTGCACTAAGAATCACCCATCCTATCAGTAAGTCCATGAAAAGTTTTATTTACTTGCAAATAACACTAACAGTTGCCATTATTAACTGGTATTGGAGCACCCCCGTGTGGGAGAAAACTTAAAGTTCACCTTAAACATAAGCACAGCAGTTATCAGTAAATCTATTACTTTCTGATTGAGAAAATTGTAAAACTAAGAAATATACAACTGAGTGATAAGTTACTCTCAATTTTTGGGAAGCTTTATTTATATTGCAAAACAGATTAAATCAAGGCCTCGTTAACATTCAAAAACATGAATTTTTTAAAAAATAGTTTATTATGGAAAATTCCAAACATACACAAAAACAGCAAGCACTGTATCATAAGTCCCCTGTCGTCTCTACCTGGGCATCATCAACTGCCAACCAAAAGAAGGCCCCTGTCCTCCCACCTTCACTCCCAGATCATTCTGAAGCAAATCCCAGAGATCCTATCATCTCAGCTATAAAGGTCTATAAAGGACTCAAACCTAATTGTAAGCCAAATTGATCTCCAAATAGCATTCTTTGTTAGACCAGGCACAACATTTTAATCACCTTCCCAGAAATAATATGCCCCCTTCTATCACAATACATCAGGATATGTTTTTAATCAATATAAACATTCTTTTTGTATCTGGGGGAGTTTTCTCCCAATGACTCTAGGATCTTTTAATCTGAAAGAAAATCCCACTTACTCAAAAATATCTAAAAGGCTTTTGTGTACTTATCAGTTACAGGGAAGAACTATGATGAACTATGAAACTAGATCCCTAGAGGGTAATGTGGCAAGCAAAAGACATGCAATCACAGGACAGTGTAAGTTTTATAAACAAGTCTGTCCACGTGTCAATATCAAGCACACTTAACTCTGTCTCCCCAAGTTTTAGGAGATAAAGATACTCCAGAATGTAGACATAACATTTCTATCTTTAGGGGCTCTGACGGTTAAAAGCCAGCAAAACACCTCTTAAAATAATCACATTTTAAGTAACTGAATCTCAAAGTAGCAAAATATCCTTCTGTCGGTGAGCAGTATCCCTATTCAGCGGTGGTTATCTCCATTATTTACAGATGTTAAAACCCATCAAATGTCTATTATTTAAGAAAATATTTGGTGTCAGTTTGACCTAGACTCTGGAGTTTACTCAAGTTGAAAAGATTTAAGAGGAAAACAGTTATTTCACAAAAAAAAAATTTTTTTTTTTTTTTCCACAAATCAAAGGAAAAAGATTCCAGGTGCCTGCTGCATACGAAGAATTGTCACAAGCAGAATTTCTAGGACAAATTGAAGACTATTTGCAAAAACTATATGCAAAAACTATTTACATAAAATTATCAGAGATGAAAAAGTCAAACAGAAACACAGTTTAAAAATAAGATCATCTTAACATTGAAAAAACTAAGAATTTCTAGCTGTGTCATAATTTAATTATACCACTCTCTGACCTATAAATAAAACTTCTATACTGTAATGTGACTAGTGAGGATTTAAATGATTGCAATATCAATAATATAAAAGGGTATGAGTTAGTATCTTCACATGCAAAAAGAACAGCTTCCATTAGTCCCAGTCCTTGCTTTTAAACTACAATAAATGCATTTGTGGGCTAGCAAGTAATTACTTTAACAAAGATAATTTTAATAGTCATATATATCTATATATATTTTCACTAAATCATTATACCACACTAATCTTAAGAACATTTATAAAACTCTCCTTGCTTTTTGTACTTAGTACCTGAGAGGCCAACAGAGAAGCCGCTGTCTGAATAGTTTCTGATTGAGTTGTACTTGTCTCTGTATCAAGTTGTTCCTGTGAGACAAAGAGGATGGGGGAGGAAAGAGACTTAAAAAAGAATAAAAGAACATAACTGGGTTTGGTGGCTAATAAGGAGACAAACTGGAAGACAGGAGGGATCAAGAGAAAATTGCAACTACATTACAGAACTGTGTCTCAAGCCTAACAGCAGGCAGTCACACCATTTCAGATGCACACACTTCCTCTTGCCTACTTATAACGTGTGAGTTTAAAATATCTAGTGACTTCCTAACCAAATCCAACAGAGATATTTCAAGCAAACAATGACTAAAGACATATACAAGCACATTGTGAAATGTTGCCCAGGCAGCAACTACCAGAATATAAACCTAAGCTCTTAGCTATGTGAAAACAACGAAACCCACCCAATGATAAATAAAATTACCCCAAAAGATAAATCTTGCCCCCATACCTGCCTTTAATTAAAATTCAGAATGTCTCTAAAACATTTCTCCTTCCTTATGGTGTCTCTTCATGTCATCAATAATCAATGTTTATGTACTGATTCTACTCTAAGCACAACTGGAAAATAACAGGTGAACCATGTAATCCCACTGCTATCAACTTTTTTAAAAAAAGAACACAAAAGCAGTAACACACACATATACAGATAAATGAAAATAAACCTAACTTTTTCAGTTTCCATTAAGCAATATATACAACAACAAAAAAAACCCCAATAAAATACCAACTTTCTCTTATGAAACTGGAAAGGTTATATATAGGGGGTAAGGAGTAGAAATGGAATAAGTGTGGTCTTTCTGGAGCACAACTTGACAATACATATCAAGTTAGCCATAGTAATTCCCCTTTCATTAAGTTATCCTATGAAATAAACATATAATAGATGGCATGTATTTAGCTACAGTCAATACTACAGTAGCATAAAGCAACTTTCTTCTTTTAATGGAAACAATTGCTAACAACAGGGAACTGGTTGAATAAAATATGGTTAATAGCCTTAAGATTGCACTGTATGTAGCTACTAACACTATCGTGTAGAACAAATAATTTCATGAACAATTTTTCTTGATTTACATACTGAGTAAAGATTTGAAAGCAAAAGGTATCAGAAGGTAAGCACACATAAAAACTAGATACCAAAAGAATATATATCATGAGAATTTGGATAATTTGAAGGGAATAGACTTGAATCTTTCTACAGGAAGGGGAAAAAAGTTGAAAGTCTTACTCAGTACATTTCAATTTCTGATAAAATGACATTCAAAGTCTAATAGTTTGGTTACAATCAGTATTCCAGCCATCTACCTTGCTTCATCGCTATGCGTCCCAGGTTCTAGCCAGAAGCTATCAAAAACTGGTTCTCCAAACATGCCACCCTCACCCCAACAGTGAGGTGACTGTCTTATCTTGGACTGGCAAAAACCCCACACTCTCTAGCTTCTATAAGTATCTCAAATTCTACATTTGCCTTCTCTGAGTCTTTCACTGTTTCCAAAGTGAAAAAAATAACATCACACCCTCTCACCCAAACCCCCACTCAATTACTTCAATTTTCTTTGATAATGTGATTCATCAAGTCTTGGCTTCCTCTTCTCACCTTAATTATGTTCCTTTACTCTTCCCTCACCACTACTTCTAGTCAGTGTTCACCACATTAACCGACTGTGGCAGGATCTCAAACACTCGAGGAATTCAATTTCAGCATTTTAGGTAACATTAAAAAAGGACAAACACGTCTCTAAAAATAATAGTGAAGACGATCTAAAACCTACAGAACGAAATACAGTACAATATTCCAGAGACAATTCTAGAGCACATCTTCTGTACTTTTCATATTGTGCATGTATCCCAAGGCTAAATTAGTATACCTTTGTTTCTGTTTTATCATGTCCACTCAAAGCAAGACAGTTAGCATCTTCACTTGTTTCATCCTGTTTTTAAAAAAAAAAGCTTTATTCTCTAAAATGAAAAATTTAGATTATCTGCCAATCAATGCTTTATAATTTTTTAAATTATAATTTAACCTGTAAGATCAAGGATAGCCTTAAGATAACCAATTAACCAATTTAATTTGGCTTTAGTAACTATCAAAATTAAAAAGAACTTAAGGAAAGATGTTATTTTTGATCATCACCATTTCCCACACCACTATGAGGTCATAGAATATTTCTGTAAGAAGAGGACAAAAAAAGTTCCTTGGTCAAACAATTCAGAAACTTAGACTACTATGACACCCCCACCCCAACCCCTCCACCCCAAGTTTCCACACACATTAATTAAAAGTTATAAGAAGTTCCATAAAAAAATACCTCTAACTTCCCCAAACTTAGCCACAAAATCCTCCTGCTAAATAACACCTATTAACATCGGGAAGAACAGGAAGTTTGAGAAATGTTCTCCTCCAGTTTTAATATTTTAATTATAACTCCATTAAAAATAACTCACTTTTGGTAAAAAGGTGGGCAGGAGCCAAAAATAGCTGTACCTTCCCAGTCCTGCAGTGATTTACAATAAACATCACTTTCGTAAGAAAAACAACTCTGACACTAATTTTTCTCTGCTTTATTTACTAAGCAGAACTAAAATTTAATCTTAAATGTTGCTTAAAACAAGACCTAGAAACCACACCCTAACTTATAGCTTAGAGCAGATTTAATAGCAACATTAACTCCCAGAAGGACCACTATTATATCCTGGGAACATACAAAATTAAAAAAAAAAAAAATCTAAATCACAACATGGCAAATTTCAGCACAGACTGGACATGTGACACTGTGGAATTGTTAATATTGGTAAATATACTTATGTGTGTCTACACACACAAATATATGTGGTGATAAAAATACTCTAATTGCATTTTTCAGAAATGGGTATTTTTAAATATAAAATGAAATATGATTGAAATAATATGCCTGGGATTTGCTTCATAACTATGGGGAAGGGGGTTGATGCGTAGTTGAAGCAAGGCTGGCCATAAGTTAACTGTTGAAGCTAAGTGATGCAAACAGGACTGTTCACTATACTTTTGTACATGATTGAAATTTCCCATAAAAGTTCTCCAAAAAAAAAAAAAAAAAGTATATATATTTTTAGCCATATATATAATTATCATTAATCACATAATCCAAGTGAAGGGACAAACCTTTTTTTTTTCCTAGTTTTACCTTACATTCCTACCATTTACATGTATTTGAAAAGCTTTTGGGTAGGATGCAAATTAAGGAAATACTTTTAACTATTCTCATGTCTACTGAAGTAGTAATAATTGATTAATTGATTAGGACCAGAGTTTCTTTCTGGCTTGCTAAAATTGCTAGTATCATTATCATTAAGAGAGAATACAAAAGACCTAGTTTAGGAGAACTACAAAATTAAATATTTTAACAATCTTCTTCAACTTTAGCACCATGAAATTTAGGCCTGAGTTCTAATCCTTGCTCTGACTTTCTAATTGTATAAATGGGAAAGCCACTGGATCTCAAGTTTCTCTTCTGTGAAATAAGGAGATCAGCCTATGAAATAATAAACAAAGATCCCAAGTTCCTTTCTATATCTGAAAATTCTGATTTTTATTAGTCAACTCCATACAACTGCCATAAGCAAAAAACAGACTGTGCAAAACTATATAAAAAAATTGCAAGAAAAAAAAGTCTGTTTTAAAGGACAATAAGACATCAATCAAGGGGTCTTATTTAGTTTCAGATTTAAACAAAGACTGTTAAAAAAAAAGGGGGAGGACATCTAAGTACTGACTAGATACTTGATGTTAACAAATTGTTCACTTTTCTAAACAAAAGCTTGTTTTGTTTACGCTTTCTTTTTTGTAACCCTTATGTTTTTAGATACATTATTTTTAAGATACTAATGAAATGAAGATGTCTGGATTGGGCATTTAATGCAAAGGGGAAATGTGAAGAAGATGGAAAAGGCAGAAGGAATTAACTGTACAGGAACTGGCCAAGAGCATTGTAACTGCAGCTGGATGATGGTATACATGGGGACATGAAGTGATTTCCTTGACTTGTGTTTGTATTTTAAAGTTTCCATATTAACTTTAAATTGCCTCTCTAAACTAGATAGAAAACAAGCATTATTCTACACCAAAGTAAATCTAAACAAAATTACAAGAATTGTGTTGTACCTATTTAGCCAGAGCTCTCAGGGACCATTAAAAAAATTCATTAACATTAAGGAAGTAGGACGACTGGCGTCTACAGTTAAGCTTACGTACACGCCAATAAAGAGAAATGTGATTTCTGAAAGGCTCTGACAACTCCAAGCAAACAGAATGTGGAGTTACACCTAAGCTAACAGGTTCTCAGGCTGCTATACCACACAATTAGGTAGAAACGTGAAGTTTACTAAGAGCCCCAAGCCTAACTCCTGGAGAGTCTGATTCAGTGTACCTGGAAGAAATCCTAAAAATCTGTTTTTGAAAAAGAAAAATTTAAAAAGTAATTCTGATGAACAACCGAGGCTGAAAAATCATTGCCATAAGAGACAGACACACACTCAACTGGTTTTTAGAATATATCTTTTAAAGATATACCCATTTTTTCATTCTCATTTAGCATCATCACTGATAAAAAGCTCATCAAATTATTCGTATTTACTTAGTGGTGACCATTTCCAATAAAATCCAAATCAAAAGGTTTCAGAAAAAAGCTATGGTACCAAACACCAGGGACTGAAATTTTTCACCATTATAATCAAAGCACTCCCTGAAAAAACTTAGGTTCTTTCCCCCATTCTACAGAAATGTTGGTGTGGCAAATTCCTAAATAACAAATTACCAGCCAAAATTCATATGGAAATTGGTGGTCATGGACTATCCTCTCTGGGTCAATGAAGCAGGTCTCAGGAAACAACATGAGAGGGACTCCAGAGAGCAATGAGATTGTGTAACAAGGCTACTTCTAAAACTATTTGACACTGACAAGTTAAACCAGCCATTTTTATAAAAAGCAAAAACATTGCTAGAAAGGTTTTCCTGAAAGTGTTAGGGAAAATAATCATTCAAACTCCCAAAACTAATCTGACTTTGCAGCTTGGCCAATCATTCAGGAAAAATTCCCTGAGAATCTCTTGTATTAAATCATCCTGTAATGCCATGTAAACAGAGAAACTCCCAAACTTCATTTGGAACACAGAAGGAAAAAACTGTGTTCAAAGGAGCTGTCAAAGAATCACTACACGTAAAAGACAGAGTCATGAGAGAATAATAAAGATGACATGTTATAGCTATGCTAAATTGTGCTGCAGAAGAGACATGCTGTAAAAGTTTAAACAAGAGGCACAGCTTTAGGGACGAGGTAATAATAGAGGGGTGAAGAGAAACTATGGCACTAAAGCACAGCCTACACAGTTTCTGAAAGCTTTCCTCCTTGTTCCTTCTCAATTTTCTATGACTGCATCTTAAAACTGGCAAGCTGGTACACCCACAGCTAACTAATACATAGATACCTCTTCTGTTTTGGTTTTCTTGGGACTCTCTTCTTTATGAGGTGAGGCTGTCCTCTTGACTCCTGTAGGGTTAGGTATTTTTGTTGCTGCATTTCCTGAAGGTCTAGGTGGTGGGTTTACCAGACGTGTTGAAGAAACAACTCTGGAGACCGTAGGCTTTGGTGGTGGTGAAATGGCTGGCTGTGTGGCAGTTTGAGGAATGCTTTCACTCGATGTACCTGAATGGTAAGGACACAGATAAATAAAAATTAAAATACATCATGTGGACACTAAGCTACAAGTGAAGTTTTATGTCTGTGAATTTAATTTCACTGGTAATTTTACATGTAAAATAAAATGGCATTAACAAATTGAATTCAAACTTATCAACAATAATCTTTCAAAATGAAGGCTAAAATCAAATACAATATAGTAGTCTCAAATCTATCAAACTAATCTCCTTACCCCCTGAGCTTTCACTGGAATTTACTTGTGGCACAGAAACTTCAGTAGCCTGTATGTTGGTCACAGATGCTGCTGTTACAGCTGGAACAGGACTGTTTCTGCTAAAAAAAGGAAGTAAAAAAGCAAAGAGAAGTATATAAAATAAAATTCATTACAAAATATGTACAGATTTTGTAAAGTAAATGATTAGTTTTAATTCTCACACATACACATAACTGACTTTACCTGATAAAATATAACCAACAACCAAAAGCAGTGTTGTTCACTAGGATTTTAATAATGTAAATATCCTATATCCGCACTAACCACTATGGCAACTACTGTACAAATACTCTGCACCTAAAATACGGATAGTGTGAAACTGAATACTTCATTTTTTTTAAATAATAAATTTAAACTGTCACATGTAGGGCTAGTTACTACCACATTAAACTTAATCTAAAAAAAAAAAAAAGGCTGTTCTTTTCTCATTTGGGTATAAGAAAATCCTATCAAAAGCTATAACCAAGAAAATGGCCCGAGAAATAAATTCCTACATACAAAATCTAACAGCCTACCTAATGGCACAGATAAACACTAACGTCTCTCAAAGTCCAAGTCCTGCCATGTTCTATATTCCACTCCCTCCTGTTATTTTAGGAAACTCAAATCATCCCTCTAATCTCTTAAATGTCTGTTTCAAATAAATACTATAATTAGCATTTAAATAATGAATTAATATTACCTCCTCAAAGAAAAAGGGCAAAAAATACTTCATGGTTACTCTCTCTCCCTCAGCTAGAGCTCATGCTCTGGAGCTGGAGGATGCCATGACAATGGGGGTCAGCACTACAGGATGTAATACTTGGTGTGCACCTCACATTCATATGCAACAACAGGGCAGGTGGTTTATTAAAGCTCTGGAGATCACTAGCACACGTAAGTAAATGAAGTCAACAGCACAGGTGAAAACCATACCCTCAGGGAGAATATGAAGGTGAGATGAAAGACTGAGGACAGAGTCCTGAAGGGCACAAGTATAATGATTAAATGGGAGAATGTGTGAAGAAAACCTAAAATAGCTAGAGGAGAGGCTATTATATAACAAATACTCAATATGTGTTGGACAAATGTATAGTCCAACTTAAAATGCAAAAATGTTATTTATACATGTTGTCTAATATAGTTTCGAGAAACTTATTAAACTTCTGAAATGACACAGTAGTATGTATGTACGCTTTATTTTATAAACACATGCATAAATTCAAAGAACACAAAGGCTTTCATAAATCCCAAAATTCTTATTAGAAGAACTATTAGTGCTTTCTTCACTTAGAAAAAACCCCATTAAAAATAAAATCTGAAAGTTAACCCTCTACAAACACATAATCGTTTTTACGTTCACACTTGAAGTCTTCAATTATGAATGACTAGTCTAAAAACACATCTTGCACTCAAAGTCTGAGGGAAAAGAGAGAACCTAGTCACTGCACCTCAACATTTTCTATTTCACTCTTATCCAGAGAATCATCCCAACCTGTGCCTTTGTCACTGCTTATATTTTAATGATGCAATTTTAAAGTGTGTTTTGTAACAACTGAAATGTAATATGCATTCATAAAAATGTTCAGGTTTTAAGTCTCAACATATCAATTAACAATCTGGTCAGTATAACCATGACAATTTAGAGTATTAGCAGCCCAGAAGTCTACCATAAAGAACTCCCTTCGCAAAAAACATTCTGCAATTTATAGAAGCTAAATATAAGCATTTTTTTTTTATGTTCTAAGTTTTTTTTAACACCAGAGTCTGGTAATAAAAAGTTTTAGCTGCTTTAAATGTTTTTATAGAGACAATTCTTCAACAAAAGGTTCCTCTAATTAAAAACATTCTTCCTTAGAAAATAATATCTTTACAAATATGGTCCCTGTTACACCAGTATAAGCAGTTCCAGGACAGAATGGTGGTTATTCTCCCTCTTACCTATCCTCCTTAGCCAAACAGTTAATCTATAGGCAGGAGATGTCACTATATAAAATGGGAGGAGTAATGGTGCTAAAGTTTATTCATAGCTGACCAAATAAAGACATATCTATCAGAAAAATGGCATGAGACAGAAGAACAAAAGTAAGTTACTTTCCCCAAAACCAGAAGTTAAACTGCTGTTTTAAAAAATGTAGATAGTGGGCTATTCTTAATAGAATGTAGATAGTGGGCTATTCTTAATAGATGACTTTAACAAGAGAACATATCTAACATGTGTTTAACAAACAGTCAGTTCACTTCCATGCCCTCTTTTCCTTACCCCTGAGAGCTGCCAGAACTGTTCAATGGACTGGTCTTCATAGCACTAGTAGGTGAAGGCACAGACATGCTGTTATCACTGTCCATAGACAAGTCAAGGCTGCTGTCATTCAGAGGTGTCAATCTGACACCTTCCGTTGAATGCTGCAATTAATAATCAAATACGTTTTTATTTTATTAATTCTTTAAAATGTATCTTTTAAACTGATATGTGATTTCTACTAAAAAGCACAAATCAAAGTTTTTATGAAAATGAGAAGTAGCTTGCTCACTACCAAGGCAAAGATTTGGGAGACACCTACTTCCTGCCTTCTGAGACCTTCAACTTAACTATAATTCTCCTGTGAACAGACAAAGAGAAGGAAGGAATGCTACATGAACTGTATGCACTCAATTAAAACACTGCAAGTAAAAAACACCATAATATGGAAACACATGATTCTCAAGTCAGTGGGCTATAAACACATATACATACACACATATAAATATCTATCAGAAAACTTTGACTATAAACATGATACCAACAATGAATATTTCTAGCTAGTGAGAATAGGATTTTTATGGTTTTTGATTGCTATTCTACAATGAATACGAAAACTATGTAATTTCAAAAAACATTATCAAGTAAGAATAATTCAGTGCCTCTCCTATGTGTAAACAAATGAAGAGTCACTCAAAAAGCAAGTGTTTTCTAGTGCTCTAATGACCATTTAGGATTTTAACACAATAAAATAGTGTAAACTCCTATGAAAATAAAAGCAGAATTTTTTGAAAAGTAAAGTTGGTTCTTATTTTTAAATATTAAAGCATTTATATTTTTAAAGAATAGTTACCTAATGTAAGAAAACCAAAATAAAGCTAACAGAGTTAAAAATGATATTATGGGATGAAATTTGACTTCTCAAGTGACAAAGCTCCCATCTCTGCAATCAGTGCTATTATGTCACATCGATTTCAACTACCTCCCCCCCCAGAAAACCTCTCACTTCAATCTTCACTTACTCTCAGAGACATTTTAATGGAAATAATTTACTATGTTGACAATAACCCATTCCCCCAAACATTTATGTATAAATTCTCCCACTTCCAACAACAAGATATTCTAACTGTAGATTTAGTACTACAGAGAGACCACTTGCATATTACATAAGTCAATACTGATCAAATGGGTAAGATTACATTTGGCAGAAGTTAGAGGAAGAGAAAGTAATGCCGCCTCTTTTGAAGTCAGTTGTGAAATAAATTTTCTAACATTCTAAAAGAACATCTTTCCTGTACAAAAATGCTACCAAACTCATTCTCCACAAGACAATTATTTGTTCAGTAAATAAATTATACTCAATTATTTACAGTCACCTGCCTGACCAGCCAATCCAACACCTGTGAGCTAACAGACTACTGTTGGGGATAATCTGTGAAGGTGAGTTTTTTCACTAGTTGATCTGAATACCAAAAAAGCATTATACTACTTTGCTTTGCCCTCTGTTAGTCTACCAAGTTTGGTATAAGAGACTTCAATGCCAAAACTCCATAAATATTCTATCTCTAATAGAATAAATAAAATTAATCTCTAATAAAAGATACAGATAGGGTAAACCACAGAGAGAAATAAACACAAACTGTGAAATCAAACCTAAGTCAAATTCACAGCTCATACTACTTGACATTAGGCAAGTTTTTTTTTTTACTGCTGTTTTTCTATAAAGGAAACAAAACCCCTAAATTGTTGTCTCTTTCAATATAGAAAAAGACTGATATAGTACTTTGCAAATAGCAGTAAATAAAAGGAAGCTACTAATAAGAGTACAAAGAAAATATTCATAGATCTAGATTTCCAGATGCTTATTACTTATAAAAGTTAAGTCCTATTTTCTAGTAGAAATGTGGACATAATCTAAATGACGTTGGAGGACAGATTTAATCATACTGTAGTCATAAAGAGATACTGAGCAGGGCCTCCCTTGGTGGCGCAGGCGGTTGAGCAAAGCGCTGTGAAGCTGTCCATAGCCTCTGCAGCGCAGGTTCGATCCTGGCCAGCCAGCAAGATACCCACATGGCACAGCAGACCTCTCCTGCCTCACCCGCTGCTCCCCTCAGCAGTGTATTTCAGTCAGTCTACCTGTTCTGCTCCCTGCTCTGTCTCTGGTGAATCCTCTCACCCTCCCGCACATCTGGCCTGTACCCTGGTTCTTATATAAATAAGTAAATCTTTAAAAAAAAATAAAAAAAGATACTAAGCAATTATTTAACATTAGTAATTTCATGTAATTTAGATAGCCCCACTATTGTAAACACCCCCAAAAAACAGGTCACAAAATGCTATTAAAAATCTTAAAAATAGATACATATGGTTACTGAACACAGAATAATCTGTGTAAAAATAAACATTTAAAATGTTAAGAGTACTACTGGTGATGAGATTTTAATTAAACTTCATTTGATAAACATACTTTTTGGACAAAATTTCTGATCATTAGTGATACTTTTTATAAATTCTACAAAATTGTATCTCCACAGATAGGGCTTCAATAGACTAAAAATTAAATTTCCATAAACTATACACTAGCTGTTCCAAATATCAATTCTATCATGTAAACAGTTTTAAAAGGTAATCTAAATCAAGGACTCTAGAAAATCTAACTACTCTCAGTTATAAATAACTGATTTAACAACACAAATAGGCCAAGTGTTAAAGAATATTAACTATTTATCTTCACATCTAAAACCACATAAGCACACTGAATATTTTTATATATAGTTAACACACATTTAAATACGGTTGCCTTAACCCATTAATAATATAACACATCAAGGGACAATTAGAAGACAAATGTCTGACTTGATAGTTTAGTTTAAAAATAAAATTATTCAGTGGTCAATTGTGTGTTAAGTATATTTTACAACAAAATAACATTGCTTGAGAAAAGACAGTACATCTCTGTTACTTCCTAGATTACCTAATTAACTCATAAAACAGGTTAACAACAGCTAGCAAGTTAAGCCATGTAAAGCTTTAAAGTCAACACATTACTCTTTTAAAGTGAAGCATACTTTCAAAAACTGCATTTTAGACCCAAAAAATCCAAGTTTCTCTACGCCTTAGTTATGAAAAATGGTAAGTGATAAGACCATAGACAAATATGAGAACATTTACAAAATGCAAAAGTACTAAGCTAACAGATAATGACTCATTTTATCTTCACAAAATACTGAGTGAAGTAGGTAAACATCCCTATTTTAAAGATGAGGCAAACCAAAAATGTTTGTTATACAACCTGCCCACATCTCACATCTAGGAAGCATTGAAGCTTAAAATTGAAATCAGACAGTCTACTCTAGAGTCCATACTCTTAACTTCACTGCTTTGTACCATAATTTATTTCATTTTTAAATAAATTATTGACCTCGTGAAGATTTCACCATATATATCAAGAGCAAATCACATTGTACTACATCGGCAACTAATGTCACATGTCAAGTCCATCTAAATTTAAAAAACAAACATTATATTAATTTCATCCTCTCTTCCCAGTCACAGATAACCAACCATTCATTATCCCAACTGCCAGGTACCATTCTCTAGTACATACATTTATCTGAAATTCTGAAATAATATACTGCTTTACATTTTTTAAACTTATGGTACTCATCTACATCCGTTTTGTTTAACTCAGCATATTAATACATGTAGCTCTAATTAATTTATTTTCACTGCTGTGTAAAAGTAATCGAAATAAGCCATTTTTGGAACTACTTAAAGTAAAAATGTAGCTGTCACCTCTGCACTAAAATTTCAACATATCCTCTATCAGAAGTCCAAATAAGAACATGGCTATAAGTTATTAACAGGAAAGATTAATACCAGAACTCAACTGTCAGTGATCTGTATAATCAATAAATTTTAATTTTAAGTAATAGATATGTACAATTCTTACCAAAATAAAGCCATTTTACTAAAAAAGTCACATAATTTACTTTATTCACACATTACCTAATTTTGTTGTCACTTAGAAGAGAAGGATGTTAGCTACTGATGTGGGGCACTAAATAAGAATAAAAGAATAAAAAGGAATTTAAGTCTATAAAATAAGGATACGAAGCATCACTATTAATGACTCTTAGGTCGGAAGCAAGTGTGTGCAAGAAACCTGGCCAGGAGCAAGGCTTTACATAATGGAGCTACTCCAAGTAACTTATTCTTAAAATGCTGATCTAGTTCAAATATGGCTTATTAAACTGAGTCTAAATTTTAACGTGTTGATAAGCTGGGTGCATAAAACAGGAGGTTAGTAATGCTTTTGTAAGTACTTTCTAAAATTACCTTTTTCTTTTTCTGAAGCACATGATTAGGTAGTAGTTGATGGAGTTGCTTTCTTTTTACATGCATTGCAGCAATTTTCATATCCACCTCAAACATCTTGCTGTTTATTGCTTGCCTATAAACTACACAATTAGGAAATTGTTATAAGAAATAGAAACATTTTAATAAAGGCAGTTAAACTAACATAGGAGAAGGTTTTCTAAATCAGAATCCTTTTTCCATCAACACCACTCGACTGTAAAAAGTACCAGGTCAAAAGCTGCCTCTAATCTGACATTATTCATTGCCTGTTACCAAAAGGTGTGCATGATGGATAAAATTCTTCCAGTGCAGTAACTCCTTAAAGTATTAACTTTAAAGAGTAACTCCCTGAAGAAATGCAGAACTGGAGAAAAGGGGTTTCTTAAACCCCAATATTTTTTATGCTAGCAGTGGAATTTAAAATTCGAACCCATGTATGCAACAAATGCAGCAAAACAAGTCAAATTAAGTATACCTAAAGACACCTTTTCATGAATCTGAAAGAAAAATTTTAAGACGTTATTTTCTATTACAGAAATAAGTGAAATCAAGAGGTTACAGAAACAACAACAAAAATTACTAAAAATAAATGGATCCAAACAATTTAGTTCCAAGGGATCCCAAAATGGAAATACTCATTTGTTCAGACCTACAATGAATACTGCTGATGCCCTATTAACTGCATTACACTGTTTTTGACAGGCAGCTTGATGTAGCAGAGAATAAAGAGATCAAAAGTACTTCAGAATCTACATTCTGATAGGGAGAATATAATAAACAGAAAAAAACTAAGCAGAATATATTTCATATTACATGTTGTTAAGTGCTATGGAGAAAATTTGATTAGGAAGATAGAATGGCTCAACCTGGAAACTGAAATTACATCTGAGCGGAGACTTCATGGAAGTGAGTGAAGGGAGAATACCTAGGGGAATAGTACTCCAGTAAGAGCAAACATCAAAGACCAAAGGTCCTGGGCCTCCCCTGGTGGCGCGGCGTTTGAGTGCTGGGCTGCGAAGCTGCCCGCAGCCTCTGCAGCACCGGTTCAATCCCCGGCCACCAGCGAGGGTCCCACATGGCACGCAGACCTCCCCTGCCTGCCCATTGCTCCCTACAGCAATGTATTTCCTCAGTCTGTCTGTTCTGTTCTGTTCCCCATTCTGGCTCTGGTGAATTCTCTCACCCTCCCGTGCTTTTCTGACTGTACCCAGTGCTTGCATAAATAAAAAAAAAATAAATCTAGGGGAAAAAAAAAAAAAGAAAATGTTTAAAAAAAAAAAAAAAGACCAAAGGTCCGGAATGAAGAGGATGCCTAGAATATCCGAGGAACAACAAAAAGGCCACTGAGGAAGAAGAAAAGATCCATAATCCCTTTACCTGTCATTCTAAGACCCCAAAAGCTGTGGACACAGTTTCTCCTAAGACTGACACAAGAGCTGATCTGGCAACAAGTCCTGATGAACTGTTTGAAGCCATTTGTTCTCTACCTTTATCAAACAGTTCCTTGCAGAAATGTCACTGTCCTTCACTACCAAATGCTACTCCAGGTCCCACTAGGAATATTACTAACTTTACTACTCTTCTGGCCCTTAGACATGGATAAAGATTCTGAACGTAAGTCACAAACATAATGAGAAGCCCTGATTAGGTAAATGGTCATAAACTCCCCTAAGGATTTGAACTTGTTATTCCAAGTGAGATGGATAACCATTATTGGTTTTATGCAGGCAAAACATGATCTGGCTTAGTACCATTTTGGATGCAGGCTGAGAATGGGTGAAGGTGGATAAAGGGCAGAACAGGGGAACCAGAGCAAGGACAGCCACCCAACAGGGTAGCGGTAAGTGGTTTGGACTAGGGGAACAGCAATAGAAATAGCAGTAAATCTCAATGTATTCTGAAAGTACACGCAAGTAGTTTAATGAATTAATATCAAGGAGGGGGCAAACAAGAATCAAGGAAGATACCAAAATTTCTACTTTGGACAATTACAAAGATAGAACTGTCAGCATCTTAGGATCAAAAACATTTGAAGAGATGCTGCAGGAGACTGGTTAAGAATGAATTTCCAACACGTTAAATTTGTTTGATTAGAAAATCTGACAAAGTATCCCATTAAAATGTTTCCAGATTTTCTTTACCAAAAACTTCAAAGTTCCTTGAAAATCCTGGTGGTTCATTAGCACAATCTGATAAACAGCTCAGCTTTGATGCGATGTACAAAACAAATTTTCTAATCCAAGTATTTCTCCATGTTTTATTAGTTTATAAATTATTTAAGTATGTTAGAATTCGTACTTTGGGAGGGGGAAAAAAACAACATTTTGATATGTGCTCAGCAAAAGGAGTACCACACTCCAAATCACATCCTCAAGTTCGAGTGCTTTTGTTGCCACAGGGACTAAAGGTTACTACCGTTAGGGACAGTCCTTCGATGCGGACAGTTCTTCACAATGAACAACTGTACCATCTCCTACATAAAGATAAAAAAACCTACCTGTCAACTATTTGAATCAACAGCTCAACTCAACCTTCCATAAAAAAAAATTTTTTAATCTGAATTTTCCAGGAAGTCAACTCCCATTTATATCAAGAGGTGACTTTTTGCTTCCATTGAAATGTTACCACATCCCCAACAACTGCAAGGCTGCTGGTGGTCTCTGAATCACAACAGGTAATGCCTGTTATCAGTAGGAATCCACAGATGTCAACGACAAGTGAGTCTACATAAAGACAAAGTCACCTGACTACCTGTCGTCTACTCCTTGAACTTGAACCTTTACACTCTGAAACACATTATTTTCCTTTTGTATCTCCTTCTGCATGAGACACTGATTTTTAAAAATGTACTGATTCTTGTCTCTCCTTCTCCATGGAGGTAAATAATTTAATGTTAAATCTCAATGCCCTCTGGGGAAAACTTACAAGAACAAGTGAAAATAACACTAAAATATTTTTAAATGGGGGAGAAGGGAGACATATTTGAAAGAAAAACATAGTCCCAAAAGAAGACACAGTCTTCAATGTTCCTATGCATGCTTACCTGTCCCTTGAGAAGCTATGTATCTACATACAACTTTAGCTCTGTCAACATCATTCACCATTTAATTAACACATACCTTTACTCTAAAGGTATGGGTCAATCTGAAATGTGACTCTAACTATCCTGTTCTACACCCACGAATTAACATTTCAGTCTATATTAGACAAGGATAAATTCCTAAGGGTCCAATACTAATAAAGCAGTCAGAGACTCAAGTCTTCTGGAGAATCACATACATTCAAGTGGTTTCTGATGTCACAGTAATTGTGGATAAATCAGATTTAACTTTATTTAACTTTAGGTATATCCAACAAAAAAGTTCACTTAATAACTAATCAAAACAATAAATTTTCATGATCACTGTTCATTATTTCCAAGAAATTTCAATAATTATAGAAAATAGCACTACTGTATAATATGAAGAGTATCAAATATGCAAAGTATCAAATATGCAAATGCATATTTTGATTATTCAAGTAGAGACATACCTGTATCTGTGAAAGACTGAATATCATAGGTAAGATCAACACTGAGATTTTCAGAGTTTTCTGTTTTTTTAAACACTAACCCAATCACCCACATCGTGCGAAATTCTTCCCTGCAAAGAATGAGGAATATTACTTAGTTTATCAGAATTTAATAAAATTATATTTGTGAATGAGGCTGAGAACCTGAGGTACATGGAAAAACTTAGAATGCAAATGTGTAAGCAAACTAAGGCTCTAAGCCCAAATTCCATCAAAATTCCCTTTACCCCCCTCCCTACACTTGTCTTTTATAATAAAGTGTATAATCAGAACATTTTATTATAGCACAATCTTAAACCATTTAAATTCCAATCTTTCTTGAAGCTGACTTAAAAAAAAAAAGTTCAATCCTAATACTTCCCTCACCTTTCAAATGCAATAAAATATAGGCAGTCTCAGAATGACATGGCAACAAACCAGAAACTGACCTATTAAAGAACATTAGAAGTTTAAAGTAGCCTGCTTTTATTACTTTGTATTCTCAGTGTTCTAGAATCCATCATAAACTCTGGTCAAAGTATGCTTTCTTTAAAAAAAAAAAAAAAAAAGATACTGACATGGCAGGTATTCTGACAACCACAATTTAAAACATGGAAGAAAGGGATGTTAACAAATGCTAAAGGGTAGGATCTGGGGAACTTAAACCTAGTTAAATACGCACCTCATAATTACTGATGTCTATCAGAGAAAACAACTTATTTCATTATTGAAGCAAATTTTTCCCAAGAAAGATCTTCACTTTGAATTTTCTAATTAGGAAAATCTGAACTATAAATCTCAAAGTGGATGCAATCAACACAATAGTGACAGCAGTTGCTAAAAATTGCCTGTAAGCTCTAGAAACGCTGAAAAGTGGAAGAGCAAAGAGATTCAAGGTTGCTTACTTGTCAGGATTTTCTTTGGGTGCTGGAAATGACTGGGGATTCACATGAGCCAGTGTAATAAACTCATTCTTCTCCAAACTTCCAACCAAGATTCGGATTTTTGATTCCACCAAGCCCACCCTGAACAAACGTCACTTAGTATTAATGAAAATACTGGTGATTTAAAAAAACTAAATCAAAGGTACAAAATCAAATGTTTATAAAAAGTAGTAACATGAAGATCATACTTAAACACACATGAGGGCAGTTCAACTGTTTGAACCCAATACATAAAACCAAAGTTTTATGCTCTAAGCAAAAATGTTGAAGCGAAAACTGGGGGGAAGAGAGAATCAGGTCATAATTCAAAGTAGGAAAGTTATAAAAAGATATCCCCACAAATAGCTATCTAAAGAAAAAAAAAATCAACATTAAACAAAGCAATGTATAGTTGAGAAATACATGGACCTTATAAAGCAAACCAAAAAAAACATATATCCCCCAAACTCCTGCATTTCCAGTACATGTAGTAAAATTTCATTTATGAATAAAACAAAACTGGATGACTAAAGGACTCTCTCCCATTTCCTACTGTGTTCTCTGGCTACCCAACTCATTTTTTCTGTAAGAACTAGTCTTATACTCACCATTCTAGGCGTTGTTTTTCTGTTGGTGCACTTGCTAGAAGTACAATATAATGCCTTTGAAGATAAAGACAACATGCTATTTATTTCACTTAAGTGCTTTGTGCTGGATATCAACACCATAATGTAATAAGTTTCGTTACAATTATAGATCAGCATCAACTGAGCATGGAGGAATTGCAAAAATCATAAAAGCTAAATTCCTCAAGTTTCTAACTACTGGAGACTTTAATTCTTCTAAAAGAGTTATTTTATAAACAATTACCCAAAAAAGTAATATAATGCAAGAACACTAAACATTGACAATAGCTGGGTGCTTTATTAAAATTTTAAGAACTGCTCATTAAAATATAATCTATGAAAACAAATTCTTTTAATGGCAATAAAGCATCAGGGCTTTGGCCCCCAAAACAGGATCATTAGATACACATTACAGAAATACCTTTAAAAATAGTATCAAACACATCATGCTACGTAATTCAAAGGTAGCAAAGATTAAATTGAACACTGAACTTGGGCCTCATGATTTTTAAATAGCAGTATGTTTATATAATGAAGAAGTTAACACTAATATGAACAAGAAACCTGATTTCTATGTGGAATCCAAACTCATTCAAATTAAGGGTAGGTTTTTTTTCATTTTAGAAAATAGCACAATGACCATATATCTATTTTGTCATTAAAAAAATTATCTGCAACTGAAGTAAAATTAATTTATTTCACTTTCACAAGACTACTAAAAAGTTCAGTCCAATATACTCTCCTACAAAATCAAAAGGTACTGGCAGTCAAACTTCTCACCAGAAGTTTAACCTCAAAAAACCCAAACTGACATCATTATCTAGTACAGATCTTGACTTTGGAAAGTCAGGTATGAACTAAAATTTACCACTACTTTACTCTTCTAAAAGGCTGAAGCCTTTATGGTTTTAATATTCTCCAAATGAAGTTTCCAACCAAAAGGAAAATTCTAACCTAGACCTAAAAAAACCCCAACCCTAATCCCACTTAACCAAAAACGGAGGGAAAAAGGATATTTAGCCAAGTGATACTGAAGATTTGCTAAATTAAACATGTTTTTAAAGTCATGCTCCTTTAGTCTATTTGACTGTTATTCATGCTCACAAAGTACGTGAAATAGTTCTTAGTCTTCATAGGTATGTAACTCTCAACAGGTCTAAGACTTGTTTGTACCATCTATAAAATGGGATACAGATCTTACTGGGTGAGCAACTATGAAGTGCAAATGACTTCAAGTATTTCTAAACTTAAAGTAGCAGAGGTAATATACATACATATGAAAATAAGTTGACAGAAAAATAGCAGCCCAATCTATACAGTCCAGTCAAAACTTCTTTCACCAGGTTAACTGTTCAACATTGTTTGGAGTAAGCCAAATATATAGAACAAACATAGATGGGCCAAGTAATAAGTCAGTAAATGTCACAAAAAAGCACCAAAAGCTTATGCATTTTACAAAGAAAGGAACCCATTTTCAGAGCCCTAAATACTGGAAAACCAAACAAAATCCTAACAAGTTTGGCAACCTAGTTTCTATCCTAGATTTTAAATGGGCAAAAGAACTTTTTAAATAAATAAAAGTGGAGATGAAGGAAGAGTTCTCTGACAGAAGTATAACAAAACAGGAGACAACAAAGTTATAAAAAACAGGCATGCACACAAAAACTTAAAAAATAACAAAGTTGTCTGGTTAACCAAGGATAAGCACCACAATTCAGAGTCTCAATCACTTTGGCCACACTAGTATACTGGATGATCTCAACAGCCAGTTTTCCACAAAAGCCAAAATCATGTACAATGTTCAATTTAGGAAGGCAAAATATACGATCCATTTGAATATAATTTTTGGTGTTTCTAAGTTTAAAGTTTTGAAGTTTGATTTCAAGTTTGGTTCCCACTGAAATGGGGGGAAGGAGAGGTAATTATGGGTGGAAGGAGAGGCAAATTACCTTTTACATTGTTTTTGCACAGAGGTGCTTGTTTACATATAGCTAAATACTTTAAATAAAAACTAACATGTATTTGTGCTGAGGTTAAATGTCCTTTACTCAGCAATAATTAAGCGAATTTAAAGTGGGAGATTATCAATACAGTGAGTTTAGCAGAAATGATCTGCAAATATTTATGTGGATTAGAAATTCATTTACAAAATCCATCTAAGAAAATGAAAACAAAAGCCAACTCAGTTTGTTTTAAAAGCCAGAATATGTATTCAATTCCTAAGATCCCTATCAGAGCAGAGGCTAAAAGTACAAGTTCTTCCACATCTGGGCAATATTGTGTTACTCTCGCTCAAAATGTTATCTCCTATGTCACTTAAAACTATCACACTGGAGATGCTCTAATGCCTTTGTGAGTTCTTTAATGCAACTGTGGTTAACTTTTCCCCAAAGATGATCAGCTTCTGATGAAAAAAAAAAAAAAATTAACTATAAAAACGTACCCCGAATGAACTAAAATCTATTCAAATACTCCTAAGTTAGAACACATACTTCAGTTGCTTTCATCATCAAACATCTATTCAAAAAAAAGCATTGTTAAATAGGTGTGGTCATTTCATCACATTAACATTTTACCTGGACAGATCATACTTCTCCCACATGTACTAAAAATGGAATTATCTCAGGCAAAAGTCCTTGCAATTCCATCTTTAACTAGCTCAGGAACAAGAGTTAAAGTTTTCAAGCACTTTATGGATATTCTATACATACATACATATAATGAATTTAAAAATAATCTTTACACCTCAGAGAATGTTTTTCTAAGTACCTTTCCTTCCTTGCTTCCAAGTGAAGCAGAAAACCTGAAGCATTCAGTTGTTAATGATTTATTTTATTGCTGCTTTATTGAGTATCTTGGAGGAAAAGCAAAAATTTTCTTAGACTTAAAATTTTACCGAGCAATGTACTCTATTTCTGCAGGGACACCATTAGTTTCTGAAAGATGATCTGTATGCTTTTTAAGACAAATGAAATTCTCTACGTTTCCCTCCCTTGCAAGAATAGCAGGTAGTTACTACATGCAATCTAAAATCCTACACAAGACAAATGGCAACACTTTCAGGACATCCTTCCTATACACAGCTGAATAACTTTGAGTCAAGGGAAAACTAAGGATTTCAACTCAGTTGTGCAGCCAACTGCTGGTGTAGTTCATAATTTTTAAAAAATCCGTATGTTTGACTACATCTAAGTCAATGATAGTAATCGCAAGATACCTTGAAGAAGGAAATTTTGGGAGAAAAGTTAAAAACATAAATAGAAATTGGCATAGATAAAACTAGCCTATTGTCCTATTTTCAACTTACTTTCCTCAGAACTCACAGCCGAAATTTAAATGTTCCTGATAAAATATTCTATGTTTGTTGCTATTATCATTTCTAATGTTTAATTTTTGATAACCTAAAATGAGCTTTTTCACTAGAATCAGTAGATAACAATCTATAATATTTTTATTAGTCAAATGAAAATTTTCTAAATATTATTTGGCATAGACTGAAGGTTACCTTAAGAGCTAAAAAAATAAAGCAAACAAAGAAAAAACTTCAAATTCTCACAACACAAACTTCTGAAATGGAATGAAGCTATCATTTTGTGCATTTTCAACAGTAACCTCTCTCACAGTGAAGAAAGTCACTGAGAAAGTCGGTACTTTCAAAACCCTCATTCTACCCACTTCCTGAGATAAGAAAAATAATCTAGCTTCACCTTTGATTCTCAGGGACTAAGAGATGCTGACACTTTTCTACAAGAATTTATTATTTTCTACTTATAGGTAATAATGTACTCTTTCAAGCTGTAGTTCTTATAGTATCAAACATCCATTCATTAGCTTACATGTTCAAAGGTACTTCCCTCAACACTAGTTAAAATAAAAATAAGGAAAAATTATCTGCCAAATGGAACAGCACAATTTATGGGGAGTAATAAACGAGCATTCAATGTTATGCTAGGTTTTTAACTGACATAGCAGTGTTCCCAGAACACAACAATTAAGCTGGCTCCATTATTGCTTTTTCATGCAAAAGATACAGAAACAAAACACAGAGACATAATGAAGGTCATCATTCTTGCTTTTAATTGGGGAAATAGCATAACGCAATCTTGCTTAGATTATTACAAAACACAATCCAACACAAGATCAAATGGTCAAGTTTCAAGTGCTAAAGGAAAAAAAATTTAAGTGGGACTCTGGCAAGATTTCAGCTCAGGGCAAATAAAAGTGCAAGTCCATTTTTTTTTAAAGTAAGATTTATTGTAACTTACAATTTTCATCAAAATCAACACAATCAGGCTATTAACCTGTACTAAGGTATTAAATCATTATATTAAAACCGTTAGTAAAATTATTACACCCACTTAGATCCCATGAAACCTATTTGTAGGAGCTTTAAAGACATAGGGGGGCAAGCCAATCATAACCTTAACTATTGAAAAACATCTGAATATATATTGACATTGTATTAGCTTTGCCTGAGTTATAAAGAATCTTAGAGATAAAGCCTCCAGAACTAGCTGAAAATAATTCTCTTAACAGAGCATATTAACTACAGATTTAACAGTTCCCTCTTTTGTCAAGGTATACAGTTCTGAAGACGACTAGAAAGTGCCTATAAGAACTGGCGTTGCTACATGTAGAGGTTCTGTTACAGCAGGCAGCAAATTGTAGGGGCTACAATTTACCTTGACAAAAAAATAAATAAATAAGGGGTTTACTAAATATAGTACACCCTTTGCGATAAAGAGAATTCTATAGAATGTTTGAAGGAAAGTTCAAAATGACATGAGTCTATAAAGAAGAGATGTCACATATGCTACTATTAAACCATTACTTAAAAGAGAGCAACATGTCCAACATGCCTTAAAATACATACTTGTACTTCTGAAAGAAGTTTGGAGCTTCAAAAAGTTTGGACCACTCTGTCTTACTCAGCAAAATTTCATCTGTGATAGCAAGACCTAAATTAAAAACATATTAAAATGTTTGCATGCTTCAGTCTAACAATCTAGAAATTTTAAATTCTTAAACATACCACATGCATTCAGTATGATCCTAAAATCCTAATTTTAACAGAAATTTTAGCCTATGACTATAGAGCACAGACTCATACATACACATTTTCCAAAACGCTGGAGGGTTCTGGGAGTCGGCTTTCCAGTAAACTACTAGCACTCTAAATATCATGCCGGTAGGATCACTCTAGCAGCTTAGGCACTACAGTTACCCATTTTTCTAAAAACACGCTTCCTGTTGTTTTTTAAAAGGACAGCAATATCTTCCAGTGAAGAGTCTCTTTAGACTATAGAAAAAAATTTTACTCTGCTGAGTTTAAAGATTGTCATCCAATAGCTATTCCCTTGTCTGATGTCACAATCAAAGATCCTGTTCCAGTTACCTTCTCTCAAAGATTGGCAACAGCTAAACCTTCAAATTAATGGTACAGAGATTCAGAATAGTTTAGAGGTTCTTTCAAAATGTCTGATCCCAATCCTGCTTGCATCTCTGCTGTCACCCAGTAGAGACAAACTATGATTAGTCAACTTTACATGGCCACAGTATGGCACTCACCAGCCCAAGAAGGCCCAGCTAAGGACACGGCTTTTACTAATGGTTAATCTTCTAATATATAATCCAAAATAAATTGCCTAAAAGAAAATTAATCTGAATTTTCCAAGGAAATTCTCAAGTATATACTGTAATCAATTAATGACTCCCAACATTCATTTCAGTGAATGCTTTCTTCAGTTTATACTGGACTGGGTCTACAAGGGCATATAAATCCTCGTGTTTAAAGGAGAGCATAAGGATAAACACTTACCTTGTTTAAACTCCTCAACCATGACCATCCGTGTTGAAACGGACACATTGTACGTAGAGTTCTGTTGTGGGTATGCTGGTGTAATTATAGGCATAAGATGGTACCTATCACTGGGGTTTACCTACATACAACAACAGCCAATCAGTTTCTTCAAGTACATATGCAACAGATACTTGGACTTTTTACCCCTTGTTAAACTGAACCAATGATTAAATTTATTTCATTCATAGCTGGAGTTGAGAAAGAAAAACCATGTAAGCAGACACTGCATTTACAGGAATTCTTTATAGAATCAAGAGATTTGGTTTAGAATAATGGGGTGTGTAGCAACCATGTGGGCATGACTAGTCTGCAATCTTAGTAGTAAAAAGTGTGACTATTAAGCTAAACAGATTCTACCTGGGGAATCCACTGAAGTCTGGGTTTCCTTTTTTTTTTCCCCAATAGAAATAGGAGTGCACACACAACTATGCTTTGGAGAAATGTCTTACTATATAGTATGTTCTGTGTAAAACAAATTTTAAGAAAAATGGAAACTTATTTTCTAATATACCCTTAACTTAAAGGAATATAAGCTTATCAACAAAGACTACAACTACATATCCATATTGGTATTTTAAGAGAAAATAAAATGATTTAGTAACTGTTACTCCAGTACTAATGATTAGTGGCATATTTCCACAAAGGAAAATGTAAACTCACACCCCTCCATAACTAAAAACCTTGAGATTTGGAAAACAAACAATGGGTGTGGGGGCCTGACATAGCTTAGCTTGATGTAATTAAGAAGTTAAAACTGACATTTTTGATACTGTAATAAGACGGTAAATTGATGTAAAAAAGACTTTAAATCTAGAAAGCCTTATTCAAACCTACATCTCTTTCATCAATTAATAAAGTGCATGTTATTAGCATTTAAACTAAGCAAACAATAAAGATCATAACTTCCTAAGCAGCAGAGCAGAAGCTCTTCTGTAGCCCAACCGTGCTTTCGTAATCTATAATATCCAAACCAATTGTCACAATTACAGCATACTAATTAAAATATTGCCTAGAAGTTTATCTGCCACATGGAAACATTAAGCAACAGTTTTCCTACAACCCAATTCTGACAAAATATTTAGATCAAATAAAAAAATACAGGGATTTTTAGTATCCTTTTATTTTGTTTTTAAGCACAAATGCCCACACAAGTTTCTCTTACAAGGCAGTTCTATATAGAATAAATTAAAATGTTAGTAAATTTGGTATTATAAATTATGTACAATTAAATGTTTTTACAGAATACATAATGATGCGTCTCACATCAGAGGACAATTATAGTTGAGATTATCAAAGATAGTGTAATACGGATATGTCCACTCATATGTAAAAGGATGGGAAGTCTCCCTGAAGTTTATGCAGATGATTTTTACTTGTTATTGCACAGTGAATTTGTAGGGGAAAAAATAATACACTAACCCTTGGGTCCCATACAGGCAAATTAAGATTGCATTCTTCAGGCTGTTTCAATAGCACTGGATTTGGCCATTCCCTGTTTAAAAAGATTGTAGCACTTGATAAGACTATTGGATATTACCATCTAAACGTACTTTGTTAAACATACAGCATTTGTGAATGTGATCCTTCTTCATTCATTCTGCCCTCTTGGTATATAAAACCTTTTATTGCTCTTTGTAGACATTACATTATTCAAAATACATTTCCTCTTATGAAATTAACCTAAAGTTATTTTGCAGCGGAAGTCAGCCATCTTCTCTGCCTCTCAAAGAATGAATAAAGCACTATAAAATTAAGAAGTAGTATCCCAAGACTTATAATGTGTTCATCTCAACCTTGCAAAGGTTAAATCTCTCCCCAAAATACAAAAGCCCTGCCTTTATACAAGTTCCATCCAAAGACAACGGAGGTTGAAAAAATTAACTGATTATAGGCAAAGGTGTATGAATAATTACAAAAATTGATTAGGAAAACTTTATCTCATAACTTAAAACTTGTAGCATGAATGTGTGTAATAAAACTGTGACATGAATACACTGTTTTTAAGACGCAGTCTGTAAGTTTGTTACTTCATCCTTTATGGAAGAGATTTAAAACTGCACAATGTATGCCACTTTTAATATCAAGATTAGCTTCTTTAAAATAAAGCTTGCTATATATGGGTAGCATTAAGAGAAACTCTGACATTCTCAAGTCTATATAATCACACCTGATTGTCTATGATTAGGTGTAATCAAATCTTGAAAGAAACGCATACTGGAAAGTGTAGCAGAATTCTAAATCATAAATTACCTCCAATAACTCTAGTTTTTATCAAATAACTAGAAAAGAACTTTTTTCCAGAGGGAAGAGATATAGGGGGTGGGGTAGAAACAGGGAGGAAAGACGAATAACTGAGATCAATTCAACGAAAAACCAAGAACTCTGAATTTTTTGGGCCAAAGCAGCCAATATGAAATGGCGATAACCTTTTATCTTTTAACCTTAAAAGAAATAGTGGTTGACAAATGTTAACCTGCCAAAGGGAGCTATTTAAAAAAAAAAAAAAAAAATCTCCTGGATTAATGAGTAATCTCACTTTTTCTTTTCCCCAACCACTGTTAATTCTTAATAGCTTTTTATACACATTTGCATATTTAATATCATGCCAAAAATAAATGGACAGCTGAAAGCAAAAAACAGTCACAATAAACTAAAGGGCTATAGATTAACATGAATTCGAAGAGTAAAAAAAGGTAGTATATATAAGTTTTATCTAAAGTAACTGATATCCCAACCTACCAACTCATCATATTTTAACAAACATTATAGCTCAGAGTTTATTTAAAGAGTAAGTTTATGCATGGATGTATAAATAGCACCTGCCTTACTATCCTGGGAAATCTAGGGGAAATAAATGGTATTTAGGTTTTCCATTTTAGATACATGATCTCCCCAAGACTATCTAAATGACTACCATCATGAACTAAACTTTGAATCTGAAACCAGCTGCAGAAATGTCATAGAAATAAGACTAAACTTCAGTGTCTACAAACAATTTTATTTTAATGTAATCTAAACACATACCATTTAGAAAATACCAAGAAAAATTTATGTACAAGAGTTGATGCTATTGCATTTGGATAAAGCTGGCAAGTTCTTGCTACTAGCATAGCCCAGGAAACACCACCGAGGAAACCTAATATATTGGAATAGATGTTGTGGCCTGTTGATAAGGGAAAAGCAAAAAGAAAAGTTAGTGTTGAACACAAATTTAAACATTTTTAATAAGCTAGCCAACAAATTCTGAACTCACGTTTGGCCCACAGTTTGATAGCTCTCAGAGTTAACCTGAAGTTGTCAATGTTTGGTACTAGATGTAAAATTTCATCGGTTACCCTGCAACCTGATTAACAGGAGTGAAAAACAGAATGTTAAATCATCCCAAGTTTAATGACAATATTCCTTTAAATTTTCTGAAAATGATGTCAAATAAAATTTATTTGGAAGAACCAGAAATGCTAATAACAAATAGAAAAATCTAAAACTTTTATCTCCTATGAAAAGCACTACCTCAACCAAAGCGCTACCTGCCTAATAGCTAGCTTTCAACTGATAATTAAAACTTCTTTTAGTACAGATACACTAAGGAGTCTAATCCACTTAAATTTCCAAAATTCATTCAAGAGTATAGTAACAAAGCAATGCTAATATAAAAGTGTTCAAAAGGTAACCCTTTTGTGTAACACAACAGCTGAAAATATTACAAAGGATACCATGATCAAAATTAATTAGGGTTATAGCAGTGAGACTTGAATCACTTACAAGAGAATACAAACATCAGTTTTTTATATATTAAAAGGTCCCAGGAAGAAAAGTGGCTGAATATGAGGCCAATGAGTAAAACGAAAGAACCAGATTCCTCCCCCCCCCATCATCTATTAATTTAAGTTCACTGTACTGACTTACTATAAACATTAACTATAAAAAACCTTCATTATAAAATTTTAGTTAAAACCTATTTCATGCTTGACAAAAACTGCTACTATGCAGAGAGATATTAGGTTATGACATACCATTAAGACTTCTTATGCATCTTATATCTAAATTTTTAAGTAGACTGTCATCCCGTAGGTCCAAATCTTCTGGAATAGTCTGCAGTGCTAATCTTGCAAACAAAATATCAATCTAAAACAAAACCAAAATGTAACACTCCATATCTGTCAAACTATTTTTAAGGCAATTCTTTAAAAAACACTTAGTACTCCTTAAAGCCAGGCACTTTGATCAAATATGAACAGCGTCTCCAAAAAAAAAAAGGTCAAAACAATATCAAATTATATCATATTTTAAATCAGATGTTAAATCATGGAGATATGAACCAGAACTTGTACAAATATCTATTAATCATTTCATCACACTAGGTTTGCTAAGTTTACTGAATACATCTAATGGGTTTACCAAGTATGTTACATGCATATACTGAATTAATTAAAATTAACTATATGAACTATGGACTATAGACCAAAGGATGCCCAAATATAAGGCAAATAACCTTACAGTAGCCCAAACAAACCTCTGAGCAAAAGAACTTATATCTATAACACTGAAGTACATTTCTTCAATTTAGTTTTGACTAAATGGAAAGGGGGGGAGTAAAACGCTGGCTAATTTTTGGATATTATATAATGCAGTTTTGTTTTTTTTTTCCCCATTGAAAAGGAGCAAGGCAAAGGAAGTACAGATGTGGCAGTTGTTCCTGAGGGTATGACTTCATGGTTCCAAAAAGCTGCCTGCTGTTACAAATAAAACTTTTATAAGATCACTTTAAAAAAGCAGTATTTTAAAAGGTTATAGTGAAAGATGATTTAAATAAAACTATGAGATAGAAAAAAAACTACACTCTTCAAATTAAGTACTTGAAGCAGAGCATACATTTTCTAATGAAACAGATTGCAAAGTCTAGTATTCTTCCCCAATATATACAAAAATAAATATTATTTCACAAAAACAGTTCACTCGAAAAGCATTCCAGTGATGAAGGAGACTTTCTTATGTTAGGATAAAGTATTTCACAAAATGTTGAAATGGAAATAAATTCCTTAAAATAGCATTGTATTTTATAGAATGTGTGGCTAGAAAACATTAAATATTTCATTAGCCATTTGACTTTTCATTTCTAGCCCATAAAGTTTATATAACTGAGGTTGAGTATCCCACCAAAAAAATAAATAAATAAATCTACCCTTTGTTAATATTCTTTTTTAGGGAAATAGGGCATAACCTTGTGTTACATACACATTGTTTCAAATTTATTTAAACACTGGCAGTAAATCATAACTACTTGAACTTGAGAACTGTTTACTAAATTTAACATTTTATGTGAACTTATTAAGGTCAGGTATGACATTTCGTGGAAGATCGAGTTGGGTTATTTTATACAGCAATTATAGAAACTTTTTCATAAAACAATGAATTATTGTTCTTCCAGTTTCCAAATTTTTATCATCTTCATTATGACTTATTAGTGACATTCCAGCACCATTATGTATGTCAGCATGTAACAAAAACTACAGTTGCTTCACTGTCACTTTTGTCCCAATTACTTTCATATGATCTCCAGAATTTAGGCTCATAAATTCCTCCCCCTTTATCAGAAAAATTTTTCTGTTTACAATGTATCATATCACGATTTTATCTCAATCTCTTTAAATATCTAATTTAAAGTCAAGCGAAAGTTCTATTTCCAAAAAGATACTGTGCAATTGCCTTAGAGACTAGAAGTATATAAAATTTGCAAATGGAAAAAACTTACAGGTAAACTATCTTATAGTATCATTTCATAGTCAAAGTGTCACTATTTCTAGCTATATTTCAGTTTCTAATTTCACTATGCTCTTCAAAAAGACAAGACTAAAAATGACATATTCCACAAAGAACAGGCAGTAGATTCTATTTAAAAAAAACTTATTACTATCACACCAATTCAATAATTATAAAACTTTAGATTCATAAAACCTTTACATTTTAAAGCCTTTAACCTACATTGATCAAAATTACACATAAGCAAAAAACATATAAACTATGACCCACCTCTATTCCATCAAAACACAGTTTGATAACGGGTACAAATGCCTCTTCAACAGCCTGTAAGAAATTTAAACAAGCTCAGTTTTTCTGAAACTACACATTTAGACCTATACTTGCTTTAGTACTTTTCAATAAATTTGATACTTGAAATTGTTTAAATGTAGCTTAGCATAATGCTTGACATAGACTAGGTTCTCAGCAATTAATATTAAGACACTATGCTCTTGACTCATACAAATCTAGGTTCAAATTCTTGATTTCTATCTTTCAGATACATATTGTGGTCAAAAATTACTTACTCTGTTTGCCTCATTTCCCAATCAGTACATGATTACATTTATGATAAAGGCTAATATATAAAGAAAAAAATGCAAGCATACAGGCATGCACTTACAAGGGCCTGTAAGAGTTCAATAAATGGTCACTGTATCATAAAATTCACTCAACTAATTTTTTGTAACCCCTCCCCTGAACCCCAAACATTTACGCACTCTTAGATCTTTTACTTCTTCCTGTAATTTCAACTTATCATAAAATGAGGTGAAAAAGTCACTTCGATCAACATGTCTTGGTGCAACACACAAGGCATCAATATCGGCACCTAAAAGAAATTAAGTCCATCAACCACTAATTGTAATTATGAGAAAATTATTTTGTATCTTACCGTAACAGAAATTGTATTGAAAATCTATTAGTATTATACAGGTGAACCACTACAAATACACCCCCTCCCCTTAAAAAAAATATAATAGTAAGTTCAGGAACAATATAATTGTAATTGATGAATCGTTATTTTTTTAGTGAATCAGCCATTAACTGCCCAAGAAGAGCTGGATAAGAAAGGTGACTCGGGTAGGACTTTTATGGTAGAGAGAGGGAATTATTTAAGAAAACACATAATATCTTGAAGTTATCAGTCAGTCACAGTCAAGTTTACTAGTGTTTAAAAAAAAAAGTTCTTTATTTTTATTATTATTTTGTATGTTATGTGTAGAACTTGGGTGTAGGCCAGAGGTGCGGGGGAGGGGAAAAGGGTGAGAGGATCCACCAGAGACATAGTGGGGAGTAGAACAGGGAGATTTTTTTACTGAAATCCACTGCTAAGGGGAGCAGTAGGCAAGACAGGAGAGGTCTGCTGAGCCACATGTGAGCTACCAGCGGGGAAGGGGGGGTGCGGTGTCAAACTCAGTCCATAGTGTTGATAGCCCCGAGGCTTAACCCAACCTAGGCCACTAGGGGGTCCCAAAATACAATTTCTTCTATACATTATGTGACCAGTGCTTACAGATTCCAACCTGGTCCCTAAATAGGATCTATAGAACAAATTTCTAAAACCAATGGTAAGAATCCAAAGAGCAGATTGTGGTAAAAGCAGGCCATGCACCGAGTATATAAAGGGAACACTAAAAGAGAACAAAACAATTGAGACCACAAAAGGGAGAGATCAATGTGGAATCAGGTCAACCTCATCATTTTCCTAAAAAAACTCAACAGCTGAGGCAATACTCGAAAGCTGTATGTTTAGCATATTCCCGATGGGGGAGAAGGGTGGAGAGTGCACAGGATGCATCGAAAGCAAACACACTACCACTGTGGGAAAGAAAGATGTCAAAACAGAGCACATGGTACTGGCAGATGCTTTCAAAACATAGAGGTGATTAGAGAGGCCCTCGGATTGCCCAAGGTAGGAGAGTCCTAGCTCTGCCAAGAGATCACAGAGGGAAAATACTCAAGCTCCATCACCTCATTAAGTCTCAGATGCCTATTTGTTACATGAAAGTACTGCGAGGAATAAATAAGGTAACAATCAAAAGCTTTAGCCTAGGAGAAAGAATTCAATAAATGTTATCCACCATAATATATTTATTGCATATTTAGGCAGAGGAAAAAAACTCCAAGTATACATAACAAAACATTGACAGTGATTATCAGTGGGCTGTAGATAAACTTTTTAACTGTTTTGTTTGTATTTATTACAATTATAATAAACAAATGGAGAAAAAAGAAAATCTACAGCCTTTTTTTAAGCTGTAATTCGTATTTGTTCTGCTTTCCAGACTAATATTCCTCAGAGAGGAAACAATATACAGAGTAGCACTATCCAAAAGATTCTGATGGTAAAGATGTTCTGTGTCTGCACTTTCCACTGTGGCAGTCACTAGCCTTGTGTGGCTATTGAACATACATATTGAAGCTACTTTTCCTGAGGAACTGAATATTTAATTTAGCTTAACACTGCACAGACAGAGCAGGTATAGAAGGCAGCATTTCATATCTTTTTTCTTACCAAATCTATCCTCCCTGAAGTACCCTCTCTTCCATGCAAACCTAAGCTTTAAGATAACACAAGTAACTGACATGAATGCATGAATGTCATTATAATTTTTAAGAAATTAAAAAAAGCATTCCATCTCAAGATAATTATACAGTATTTACCTTTTGTATGTACTCCTAATCGGTAAGATCCAAATGTAAAAATTTTTCCTCCAACATTTTCAATTACAGACTGTGGAAGATTCTGTCAAAAAACCAAAAAGTGGTCATTTTGTTAGTGAAACACAGGGGAAATTATTCAAGTAACACTATATTTAAAAATATAGAAGGGGGAAAAAAGCAAGACTTCAGTGCAAATTTATAGAAAAGGTAAACAAACCCTATAAACGCTACAAAATACCAGGTCTTCACAGAGCAACCGAATTTGAAATTCAAGCAATTTTCAACTCTTAATGAGTGTTGGTTAATGAAGACCCAAACTGTGCTTTCTTCAGCAGAACATATATTAATGAAGACCCACACTATTTTAGAATTTTGCCATATTATGGAAACTGCTATAAAGAGAACTATGGTAGAAGACAGCATGTGATTCTACTGGACCAATGTTAAAAATCAGAGATTTTATTCATGACAAAGATGCTGCAATAAATTATGTCAGAATATAACAAACACAAATTCTGACAGCTGATAACAAAACATTCGATGATCACAGTAAATATTTCAAAGTATACTGATGCATAATTCCACCATATCAAAAGTGACTCTCTTTAAAGGTATTACTACTGTAACAGTTTAGTTGTTTAGATTTCCAAGAAGTTCTGATGGGAAGATTTTGAGCAGAACTTACTTACTGATGGTTTCTTATTAAGAGCAGAAACACCAGGAAGATGAAAGTAAAGCATTTAAAAATCTTCCTGACGTGGGCACTCATCTAAAGTATGATGGTGAGCTCTAATGGCCCTGGTGGTAGGGTGACGACTGTCTCAAAAAAAAAAAAAAGAAGGCATGATTTTGGGCCTCCCTGGTGGTGCAAGGGGTTAAGCACCTCACGATGAAGCAATCTGCAGCCTCTGCAGCAGTTCGATCCCCAGCCAGCCAGGGAGCAACCCACATGGCGAAGCAGACCTCTCCTGTCTCCCTGCTGCTCCCCTCAGCAGTGTATTTCAGTAGATCTGCCTGCCCACTGTCTCTGGTGAATCCTCTCACTCCCCACACCTCTGGCCTGTACCCAGATCTTGTATGCATAAATAAATAAATCTTTTAAAAAAAAAAAAAAGGCATGATTTTAATATGTGCTAGGTCAGTATTTCTCTTTGTAGCTTCTAATTACTCAGTAAAGTCTCCACTCAGTCTCAGAATATGAAAAGATTTCTTAATTCAGGCTGTGGAAAACATTTTCAGTTGCAAAGTAATTTTTTTGTTGTTGCTTATTTCAGGATTACATGGCAAACAAACAACAAAAGAAAATTCAAAAAATCTCCCCAAAATAATATAGCTTAATTATAACTATATATTAAATCAATGGTTTCTTAACCAGGGATGATTCTACACCCCCAAAGGATCATATTACAATGTCTGGAGACATTTTTGGTTGTCACAATTTGGGGAGAAAGGCTGCAGGGGCAGTGCATCTGATAGGCAGAAGACAGGAATACTGCTTAACATAATGAACGGGACAGACCACCTAAAAAACAACCATCTGGCCCCAAAGTATACACAGCATGAACATCAAGAAATCCTGTATCAAGTCTTAAAACTAACCAGACTGAAAAAGAAATTCTCTTCACAAAAGGCAGATACAAAAGATCAAAACTTGTGAAGCCTCACTGACTTCTTTAGTCCCATTTGCTAACCCACTATCTATATAGTAAGCTATAAAGAAAAAGACATGACAAATGTTAAGAGAAATGAGCATTAATTTCACTAACCAAACAATTCTTCCTGCAAGAAAACAGGCAGGAAGAATTGTATCAAAATTTTCTGTAAAAGCAACTAGAAAGTCAAGTGACTGAAACAGAACTATCAATGAGGTAATATTCTTGTTTCACAAATAATTTAAGTCTGGCCTTGTCTACCTGACTATGTTTTACATCTAAGAAAAGGCTATTACAAAGCTATGTTCCCTTATGAATGGTTAAGGAAATACCAAGTTCAATAAAAGAGTAAAGAATACTTAAATTTCAGAATGAATACTGTTTCACTCTGTAGTTGGGAAGGGAAAAAAGGTATATATTTTATTTATTTTTTTAGATTTACTTTATTTATACAAGAGCTGGGGTACAGGCCAGAGGCATGGGAGGGTGAGAGAATTCATCAGAGACAGAGTAGGGAGCAGAACAGGCAGACTGACCCAAAACAATGCCATGGGGAGCAGCAGGCAAGACAGGAGAGGTCTGTCCCGCCATGTGGGTTGCTCCCTGGCTGGCCAGGAATCAAACTTGAGCTGCAGAGTCTGCGGACAGCTTCACAGCACTAAGCTCAACCTGGTGCGCCACCAGGGAGGCCCAAAAGGTATATATTTTAAAACTTAAAAAAAAAAATCTAAACATCTTTTGCTCAGCTAAAACTTCCTTTTCACAATCTGACTTTTATCAAAAACTCTTAACAATGAGAAACATTTAACAGACCCCCCAATTTGGCATATTACCATTACGAAAGCTTTATCAGCCACCCGAAAAAAATACACATAGTTTTAAGAAAGCAGTTATTATCGATTTGACTAGAATTTGAAGACTTTAATTTACTTATCTTCTACCCCTGGTTCTCTTTCCATCAGTTACGGATTAAATATTCATTTGTACCATCCTGAAAAAATCACCACTATTTAGGGGATTTTTAAATGGGTGAAATGAATTCCACAACTCTAAGAATATATTTCCTTTACCAGAAGCTCAATCATGTATTCACTAGCTGTGTGTACAATTTTTCAAAAAGAAATATTAGGAACTCAAAGGTGGTGGTTATAAAAAGAGATTCAGTTTGAAAGTCTAATATGTGAAAACCTAAAAAATTTTCACTGTTGTAGGACTCCTTAAACATTAACAAAATTCTCAGATATGTGATATGTGTTTACATTTTTAAAGCACATTTTCAGAAAAATATCCATTTCTTCTATGAACTACTTAGTTTCAGCTTTAGAATGTTGCAACCAAAAATGTTTATGGCATCACTGAACTCAGTTCAGTTTTTCCTGCTCTCAAAATAACTAGAAACAAAATACAAATTTTGTTATCAGTAGTCTAAAATGAACTGTGTTCAATTAAAAATGAAATCCACTCAAATGAGAACAGACAGTTGCTGTGTTCAACTGGCACATTATTTTATATGCAAATAAGTCACCTTACCTTGCTTTCACTGATTTCTCGTATCCACTCTTTTACCAGGTTATTTAATTTTCCCAAAATTAAAATCCTGTTGACAGAGCAAATACAGTAAGTAATCAAGCTGTTTGTTATTATTTATCACTACCAATTAAAATGAAAACATTTTCAATAGATGTTTTCTAAATTTTAACCAGCGTTTAAGTTATGAGAAAGAACATGGTGCTTAGCGATATCATGGGTACTGTAACATGTGGTACAGCATTCCTTTAGGTGAGCAAGGCCTTCCCATTTCTCTTGACAATACTGTACTACTGCCAAAGCATTAGAATTCAAAATTACAGAACTAGAACTTGGTATAGAAAGTTTTCTCTAGGTATTGCTCTTGTTTAATACATAAATGGGAGAATCCTGACTTTCTGAATGGAGAAAGTCTCAAAAAGTGCATTATATTAATTAAAATTATAAATTAAAAATATGTATGATAAATTTACCTGCGCTGCAGTTCCTCTTCCTCTTCAAAAACCCCAAAGGGCTTCAGTGTCTCAATAAGTTTCTGTGTAAGTATGCAGTCAGTCTCCTTGGGTGCTGCTAAGCTGATAGGAGAGGTAATGCCATAGTGCTTCTGTGGCGGCTGTGTTTGTTGTGATCCCTGCGTTGTAACTGGACTACAAATGAAATTGGATAAAATTATTGCCAAAATAGCTCTACGATTTAAAACAAGTCGGCATGACCAGAAAAACTGCTTAAATAAAGTGCTTTTCTAAATATAGTTGATTCCTTGCCATATCCAAAAAGACTAAGAAACCTAAACCAAGTGACCAAAAAGAAAACATTTCTCCTCCAACCCCAAGGATTTTAACTTTGCCACTACCTAAACATCTAAATAAACTATTGACAAGAATATAGATCAACTATAACACTAGAGAAAAAAATCAATGCTAAACATAGTGAATGTCTAAGAAATTTTACTTCCTGAGGAGGAATGAAAATCTGTTTCATTGTTATTTCTAAAGCACAAGCATACTATGAAAGTACTATTTTACCAATACAACTGGAACATCTGAGTTTCAAGGAGTAAAACCCACAGATAATAGGGCAAATAATATAAACATAACCAATATAACTTGGGGGAAGGATTACTTTATTCACATTAAGCTTTTACAGATTTTTAGTAGCAGATTTACACTTCAACAATGATGCTATAATCTATAGATTATAGATCTTTGCATTTGAAGAGAAATTCCAGATTTGTTCAACCAGCAGGATTTTATTTAACTGGTGAAAAGTTTGTTTAGAAAGAACCATTTTGATTCAATTATTTTTTGGTGATATCCATTGTTGTTTTGAAATAATAACTTATAAGTCAATGGACAAGGACTTCAAAGATAAACAGAACAATTATTTAAAAGCTAACAAATCAAGTATTGTGCAAAACTAGGTAAGGGCTAAGGAAAGAACCTGATGTCTGGATCTGGTATCTCCCCCACATTCTGTTCCACAGGAAATTAAGTGTTCGTTTTCAAACACACACTCCTACACTTTCCCAAGTTCTAAATACATTTTTCTTTTTAAAATTAAAAGTGCAATAATCTACTTAATCAAAATGCAAAAACTAAGAATATTGTGCAGTACTCACCACTGTGTACTACCTACCCACTTGGGTTCTGATTTATGCTGTCACTGCTGGATGTGTTTAATATTTTGTCTCCTAATATTAACACAGAATATTAAGAATGCCAGGAAACCCATAGTGCTTGTTACTTATTAGCCACTGGGCAATCATCTAGTCAATATTTCCTAGTCTTGGCATGTACTGTTTCTCTTTTAATTCAGATTTTACAGTAACATTTACTAAACAAACATGAATCAGAGTCTCTCTTACAGCAATTCACATTATTTCTTCCTACTCCTTTATTCTGGACTGCACAGCTTTACAAGGCCATGATATTAATTCCACAGAACTGGTGATCCAAATGAGCACCACTGTCTCAAGACTCTTACATTAATAATATTCTATTTTCCAAATTTATGTAGCCTCTCCTGTGATGAAAATACACAAATTATTGATGAATTCAAAATTTAACATATTTTCCTCAGGTAACAAATAGTTATCAGGTTCCATAAAACTGACTTCAAAAAGGTAACCCTCAAAACTGCCATAACCATTTGAATTCTCCTTCAGACAATACTTTCAGCCAATTTCAAATGAATACTGAATTATAAAAAAAAAAAATACTTGCCACATTATAGCACAATACTGTTCTCTCACAATGTCTACTGCTTCATGAGTTTAAGTCAACTATAGTCCCCATGACTATCCCAGGATTATGAACAGGCACTTTTATAAATGTTTTGACTATGAGTATAACTAGAAATGAAAACAAGCGTAAAGTTCATTCTAGTTAGAAATGGTTCAAGCTAGTTTTCAAGCCAAGTGTTAAACTGTATTCATGTTTTTATAACTTCAAGTAATAAACCACTACTGGATTGTATTTTGTTTGGTTTTTTTTAAAGATTTATTAATGCATACAAGAGCTGGGGTACAGGCCAGAGATGCAGGGGGTAAGAGGACTCACCAGAGACAGAGTAGGGAACAGAACAGGCGGATGTACTGAAATACACTGCTGAGGGGTGCAGCAGGGAGACAGGAGAGGTCTGCTGAGCCATGTGGGTTACTCCCTGGCTGGCCGGGGATCAAACTCACGCTAAGGAGGCTGTGGATTGCTTCATAGTGCGGTCTTTAACCCCTTGAGCCACCAGGGAGGCCCTTTTGTTTTCTGGTTTGTTTTTTTTTTTAGATTTATTTACATATGCATACAAGAACTGGGGTCTAGGTCAGAGGTGCTGGGGATAAGAAGATTCACCAGACAGGAGTGGGGAGCAGAACAGGCAGATCTACCGAAACACACTGTTAAGAGGACCAGTGGACAAGACAAGAGAGGTCTACTGTGCCCTGTGGGTCAGCTCTCTGACTGGAAATGGAACTAGCCTCAGTGGCCGGTGAGAGCTTCATAATGCTGAGACTTTAACCCCTGTGGCACCAGGGAGGCGCTGTGTTTTTTTATTTTGAGTAGTTATTATCTTTCTCATCAGTCTTTTCCTTTCTAAAGAGGTTTAACAAATTTATTACAATTGAGTCTGTATTGAACAAAATATGCATATCCATTTTCTGTGGGGTTAAGATTCCTTGCTTATTCTCTTGCCCATTTTTTTTTGCCTTCTCAAATATCAGGTTTTTCATCGTCACATGCAAAAAAAGCTTGAAATCTCCGATCTACTTTAACTATCTTAACAAAATAATAGGACACACCAAGTTTGTTCATCCTAATTTGGAATTAAAAAAAGATGTCTGCACTGGTTCCCACATTAACATTTTGATAGCAAAACAAACCATACTCCAGTTGCAAGTTTTTAATTACTTTATTCAAAACATAGTCACATCATCTAAGATAAAATGACATTTGTCCCACCTAACTACAGAACATATACAACATGTATACATACAGGCCATATATCTAATTCAAACATACAATTCGGGGAGGGGGGGAACAAGTATGAAAGAAATCTAAAAAACACAATCAAATATAAAGAAAGAAATACAGGTTTTGAAAGTTAAAGATACCTGCACCCCCAATAAAAATGGCTTAATCTAAGCTAAAGAGGATGGACTAGGAATTCCAGTGCTAGATGCTTTGGTTGTCCAAACTGTCCCTAAAAGCTTCAGTCACAACTGTACTTTAAACAGAGGAAATAAGTTTTTCCATTCAATTTTAATACTAGAAATTAAATAAAGCGATAAAAAACAATTTAAGACATTTGTTAACTATTTCTAACAAAGAAATTTTTTTTACATACTCCAATATTGAGCAATGTGAAAGACTGTGCTTTATATACACATTGAAACACCAACTCTGCCTCTGAAATCATACCACACAGCTATTAATCCCAACAATGCAAAGCCATTTCTTCCCATTCTTGAACACATTAGACATCTGCCCATGTCCATCACTTTCTGGAGACATTTTGACCAGTATCTAAGGTTTTTTTTTTAGACACTGTACCTTAAAAATAACTTCCACAACTATGTGAAACATTTTAAAAAATACCCTAGATGGACAGTATTTGTGGTTAATGAAAATCCTGTTCTGATTTTCAGTATCAAGAATACCTGTGCTTTTCTTCAGCAACAGATATATCTGCACCTCATGACTATAATTTGTATTTACCCTAAAAATACCATTACCACTAGAATACCATGAGTAAAACTGATAGCCATCCAGGAGCTCTCTATTAGAATCCAAACCTACTGTACTTCTGATAATCACATTCAAAACTGTCTACAAAGTCTGATCTCAACTCAGAAGCAATCTGATAAGGCAGCAATAAAGAAAGCAGGGATGATCTCACTTCCCACTAGGTCTAGCACTCTAATTTCACATGCCATTTGGGTACATTTTTCTTATTACCTCTTCTCTGTGTCAGATGGCAAACTAGGAATTTTAATATTACAATAATAAAAAGGAATTTCAAACACACGAAGTTTTTAAGCCAATACTCAAAATAAAGGTTTTCCTTTCCCCAATGGTAGGCTCTCCAAGACCTGACTCTAATTAGATATTTAGGTAACAGAACAGAGACATTTTTTGTGACTATAGGCTGCTTATTTTGCTAATTTGTCATTTCAAAAGTTTAAGCGTTCAACTAACAAATATATACACTCTAAAATATCAAAAGCCACGCTGGCACAATAATTATAAAGCAAACTCAATTAGTGCAAGTTCATAAGATTAGAAGTTAAGTGTTGCTGAGTCGCCATACATCCAAAGAATGGGCAATCTTTGGATATATTAAGCTGATAACCTTTTTCAAGTGAGTGAGAAAAGAATGGAATACGATAGTACCCCATTATCTGTGGTTTCACTTTCCTTGGTCAGTATGTAAACTTGTGATAACACATGGTCCAAAAACATTACATACAATAAGATAGTTTGAGAGGGGCCACATTCACACAACTGTTACTATATTGTTATACTTGCCCTGCTTTATTATTGTGTTAATCTCTTAGTGTACCTAATTTATAATAAAAATTAGACTATCACAGTTATGTATGTATAGGGAAAAACAGTGTATACAGGATTCACTACTATCCACTGCTTCAGGCATCCATGGGGTAGGGGGTGAGGGTTGTTAGAATATATCTCCTGTTCAAGGGGGGACTGCTGCACTAAAACAGCTTTGGGATAGCCACAACAAAACCTAAAACCCAAATATGGTGATATTTCAACATATTTAAGAACTACAGGCTTTTCAAAATAATAAAGAAAACGAACACTATTTTCAGAACCATATTTAAGCTACTCACAAAAGCCACACGCAAAAACAGATCTGCCTACATAAAAATTGCAATTTTTATATTGCAAAAATACATCAAATGCAATGTTAAAGCAAAAAAAGTTTGCTACACATCAGGGAAGCAAATTAAGACAACCATTTTTCTTTCACATTGAAGAAAAACAAAGCTGATATACTAGCAATATATAGTGTAAGAAAATGAGCAATAATCCATAATGATAGAATGAACTTGGCACATTATTTTAAAAAGCAACCTGGCAATACTCATCAAAATTATAAATACACGTATTTCAATTTAACAAGTTTATGTCTA